TTACGTAGTTTAGGTTGGTTTGGGATAGATTAATCTTGGTTAGGATATTAGGATAGGGTACGATATATTGGGTTAGGATAGGATAGGATATGTAAGGAGTAAATTTTCACTTGTTGCCACAAAACGAAATCGAGGTTGAAACTTTGTTCCCGATGGTGTTTGATGTGTTGTGGATGAATTTGACCTTCATTTCTGGAGCAAATCAATAGATTCTGAGATAAGCCCCCACCCTCCCATCTCAGATTCTAGAAATTTTTATATAAAAATCAAGGCAAAAAGTGTTCAAAACACATCAAAAACTATCGGGAAAACAGTTTTGAATCTAACATAACCTCACCTCACTTAACCTAAACTAACGTAAACTTAACTTGGGGGGGCACAGTCGTTCGATGTTCTGGCCGTGTACCGCCACGTAGGAACATTCATAATAAAATGTTAAATATCTCACGTAGGTAAGAGGCAGCTAGGGAGATACTACCGCTTGGAAGCATAATGTGTTGTCTAATGGTAGACTCTGCTGCCATATGTGACCAAGTCCCAGGTTGCTCATCTGACTTTCTGCCTCATTTACACACAATTGCAGGGTCTCAATTGTTTCTCTTACTTTGACAACTATCGTTTCTCACTATTGATTTTTTATAATTTTTTTGTATTTCTTTATAGTTCTTTGTTATTTTATTACAGTGTTATTATTATTATTATTATTATTATTATTATTATTATTATTATTATTAGTATTATCATTATTATTTTATTATTTTATTTTTAATTTTGTATTTAAAAAAAATATTCACTGTGAGTTAGTATTACTATTATTATTACTACTACGTTTTCGTCCCCCAGGCCCCGATGTGGGTCAGTGACCTGTGCCCTGGTGGGCTAATTCCCGAAAAAAAATCGTAATTAGCGCCAGAAATGTTTTCTGCCATTGAAGAAAAGTGTCTTAGAATTATCAAAATTACCGATTTCAACCATACAGTTCACGAGGTTCATTTAGTGGCAACAAGTGAAATAATACCATGTTAGGTTGGGTTAGGATAGGTTAGGTTGGGTTAGGATACATTAGGTTGGGCTTGGATTGATTAGGAGAGGATGTGTTAGGTTAGAATAGGATAAATTAGGTTGGGTTAGGATAGATTAGGTTCTCTGGAGTTGTATTGGTTTAAGTGTAGGTTTAGGAAAGTTGGATACATGTCTGCCAAGGAGAGTACACGAGCTGACGTCATGATGGCCAGTGACCAATTGGCGCACGCCATACCCTCATACGCGTGGATATTACTAAATTACGCCGAGGACAGTTGTTGTTGTGATGGTGATGGTAGTGGTGGTGGTTGTGATTGGGGTGGTGGTAGTAGTGGTGATGGTGGCTGTTTGTTCTGCTGTAAAATAATAAAACTTGTGGTGGTAAATACTTATTATAGTGGTTTATGAGAGGGATGATGCTGGGGGAGGTTTAGGGGATGGGGGGGGGGATACCGGGAAGTGGGAGGAGGTTTTAGTCCAAGAGCAATAGGGTTAAACCTGGAACAGATTGGCAACAAGCTGAAAATTTCAGGAGAGACTCAACAAAACAAAACGTCAAAAGTCAGGAATTCAAGATGGTGTCTAAGATGGCCGCCAACTGGATGTGATATAACTGTGAACAAAGTGTCAAAACATAGGAGTCGAGTCGATGAAACCATTAATTACAGGATATAACAAAACAAAATGGCGGCATATCAATGTGGTATCATATTAGCATTAAAACTTGGTGTTGACTGGCTACACTTGTTACCACCCCTACTGCTCTCTCTCTCTCTCTCTCTCTCTCTCTCTCTCTAGTTATTGTAGGTCAGTTCTGAGTCGTCACCAGTTCCTGTTATCAATGGGATGTGTGTATCATAATGTCTACCTGGAAACTTGACATCTCTACAGTATACTGCCTCTGGTGGACCCCTCGTACTCCACACACACACACACACACACACACACACACACACACACACACACACACACACTCTCTATAACTCTGTGAATGGAAAAATAAAGTCGCTATATAAAAGGTTAGGTTAGGTCATATCAGGTTAGGTTGGGTTAAAAAATTAAAACCTACTCATTTGTGAGTTTTTTCCTAAATTATTTAACTCTGCTTCTGGACTCCAACACCTCTTTTTGTAAATAAATATAATAAGAATATTAAATAAATATTGAACCTAATGTAGTATTAGCAAATAATAATAATAGCAACAACAACAACAATAACACTAGGTCCGCGGTAGAAATTATATGCAACATTATTGGCTCGGGTTTGTGAAATGGTCGTGGTAGAGTTCTGGGAACACAAGGTGTGTGTGTATGTGTGTGTGTGCGTGCGTGCGCGCACGCGCCTGTGCTTATGATGGTTTATGAGGGAGTGCAGGCACAGTCCTGAAGTCTTCCCCCCTCCTCCCTTCTTCCTTTCCCCTCCGCCTCTCTTCCTTCCCTCTCCTCCCTCTCCTCCCCCTCCTCCTCCCCTTACTCTCTCCCTTGCTCAAATTCTTTCTCCCCTCTCCCTTTCATTCTGTTCTCTCCATGCTTTCCTTCCCTTTTCCCATTTCCCTCCCTTCTCCTTCCCTCTCCCTGTTGTCTATTTTCCCATTCTTCTCTCTCGTTCTTTCCTCCTCTCCGTTCACTATTTCCTTCGCTCTTTTACCATATCCCTCTCCTCCCTACCCTTCCCTCTCTTTCCCCCCTTCTCTACCTTTAGTTTCCTTCCCTCTCCCCCCAGTACTGCGTATACAAACAACCATTGGCTGTTTACACCTGTCCACCTTAAGGGGTAATGGGTTAAGGCTAGTTATCACACCTGACATTATTAACCCCCACCCCCATATAGCGTTAGGGTGGTGAAATAAACGGGTTTGATATTTTTCAGGTGATCCATGTTATGCCCTTTATCTCAGACGAAGGGATATATGTACGGCAAGCGATGACTGTTTGTCTGTCTGTCGTCTCATGCACTTGTTGTCTGGGTTCAGTTTAAGAATGAGTTGTCTGGTGTGTCTTTAAGGCAATTTCGCTCCTCTTGCTGAAAGTTGACGCGTGGTTCACCCCTCCGTGACAATGTTGACTGAGTTATTATTATTTTTATTATTATTATTATTATTATTATTATTATTATTATTATTATTATTATTATTATTTGTTTATTTTTTTTTTTGCATATGATAATGACATAAGTGTCCAAGGTTGATGAGGTGAAGTCCTGTTCGTCCTAGGGAGTGTATTAGTTTAAGCGACACACACACACACACACACACACCGACACACACACACACACACACACCGACACACACACACACACACCGACACACACACACACACACACACACACACACACACACACACATATGGTTTTCTGTCACTTTGTCCAGCGATAGTAACATGATATGTATTATTAGTTGTGTCACCTTCGTTGGTGAACTCTGATGTGACCAGAGAGCCCGATTCGGGACCGGCAGGCTCATTCACAGATGTTGCACGTGTGGTGGGCTACATCTAGTGCGGGGGGGGGGGCGTCGGCAGTGTCTTTCCGGCGTTGGCGCTTATCTGCCTCGGTATGTAGTCGAGTAAACTTGAAAGTATTGACACCATCTCGTGTGGTGCTCCTCCAAGCGTTACGGTGTGGAGTAATCGTCTCCCAGGTGAGGGGGTCGATTTGGCACGTTTTCAGGTTTGTTTTAAGACTATCCTTATACCTTTTCAATTGCCCGCCGGCGCTACGTGTACTATTCGTTAGTTGACTGTAAAGTAGCTGCTCTGGCAGTCTACTGTCGTCCATGCAGGTAACATAGCCAGTCCAGCATAGTTGTTTATGGGTAATGGTAGCCTCGATGCTCCTACAGTTGGTGTCTTTCCAGGGAACTTTGAGAATGGAATACACACACATACATACATAAAATGCTCCTGTCCATGCTCTTTGCAGTCCTAGAATCGGTCGAGACTAGACCTCTTATGCATAGTTTTGTGTGTGTGAGAGAATGAGATGTGTTAAAGAGGAAGATGTTGGCACACACACACACTCTGTCTGTCTCTCTCTGTATATATATATATATATATATATATATATATATATATATATATATATATATATATATATATATATATATATATATATTCATTCTTTGTGACTCTCTCTCTCAGTCTTCATCTTTAACACATTACATAACCCTTTGTACCCGCCCCATGTTCCCCCCTCCTGCCCTTCCTTCCTTTTCTACTCTCTCTCTCTATATATCTCTCTCTCTCTGTATATATATATATATATATATATATATATATATATATATATATAAAATTACTGTATATTCTTCCATCTCTCTCTTTCCCCTTTACACTATGGGACAGTGGGACGCTACGATCACTGTCAACCTCCTGCTCCCCTCTCTTCTCTCCGTCGCCTCCCTCTTTCTCACAACCTCCCCTCACTGCCCTCGTTTACTGTACTATTTCTTCCTATCTTATCCCCTGTTCTGTACTTCTCCAGGGTCCTCCTTTCCTCCAGACTGATCGAGTGAAGTGAAAGAGGGGACATATTTAGATCGGGAAGTACAGAAAGAGGGAGAGAGGAGGGATAAGGGAAAGAGAGAGATGGGGGAAAATATAAGGGAGGGGTGATGGAGAGTAGGGTGAGAGGCAGGGAGAGAGGTGGCAGTAGCAGCAACAATAATTACGCGTGGAGGTACTGGCTGGGGCGAGTGGTGGTGGGGCGCGTCGCCATGGTTACCAGTGTTGTTACCTCGTCCCGATCCTCCCCCGCCACCACCCACCACCCACACCCACCCCCGCTCGCCCCGCCCAGTGATACCACATATTCCTCGTATGGGTTGATGATTGGTATATTTATTGGCTTTATTTGAGTAAAATGGAGTGGGAAAGGTATTTGGTTTCGATAAATATGTTAATGCCATCCCAAGTCATGACCTATGTTTGGACGAGTGGTAGACTCGCTTTGGTGCCGTGATGTCAGCTGTGTGGCCGCCAGCACGAGGACCCGAGCTAGCTGTTGAGCCTCCCTTGTTTGTGTGTGTGTTAGAGCTGCGATCACTGCCTCCAGCTTCTACTGTCACCTCCCTCAGTGCTGCTGTACCACTCCGATACCTCTTTCTCTCTCAGCTAGTTATCTTAGTAGCTGAGGTAGAATGACTAGAAGAATAAAACACAGGAGTACTTGTTCAGGGCAGCACATGGAGTTACACCACGATCGTGAAGGAATCATCTTGACAGTAACGTAGTGTTGGCGGTGATAACTACGAGTTTAATGGCTTTTATACCACCGTCGCTCCTGATGACCGACTACACTACAGGATTGCCCACCATCATCATCACTTAAGTGTAACCGACGGTGCTACCACACTTAACCACCACACGGCCATAATATCCACTACCAGCGTGTCTAATCAGGCACTCTCCCTCTACCACCACCACCACCTTTCACCATCTAAATAGTGATTTTCATGACGATCAACTTGGTTACTGACGTTGATAATGGTGTCTGTTGTTTGCTTCAAGTCAACTTACTGTGGCTCACTTGTTGGTTTATGGTGATACATAATGATATTTACTGGTAATATTTCCAAGATGGCCAGGAGGTACTCAGTAGCTGGTGGGGATTCATTGAGGTATAAAGGGGAAACATTAACCTGGTGACCGTGAGAACAATGCCTACCGTCACCACTTCCTCGAGCACCATGCGCCGCCGCCACCACCACCAGTATCACCGCGGCGTTGGTGGTGGCTCATAATGGCAGGGATACAGCCACACCGAAGGAAACGTGGTTCCATCTTGAGACGGACGTGATGTGTATAGTATTGGGAAATATAACAGAAACTTGATTGGAAAAATATTGGATGTTTGAGTGGAAAAAAAAAATTGATTGGAAAAACGTAAAATTAATTATTGGAAAAATATCAGATATTTAATTGGAAAAGAAATCACACCCCCCCAAAAAAATTAACACAAAATATATAGTTACAGTATGGTCTATACCCTTATATCTAAAGCTTGATTGAAGGAAAAATTTAAGTGTGACCATAAGAATAAAATTATAAGTAAATCACCATGAGAGAGCCAGATGGGAACATGTGTAAAAGATCACTGGAAGCTGAAGTAGTTGTGCTAAGAGAGAGTCACCAGACAGCTGCTACAATTAATCCTTAACTTCAAGGGAAAGTCAGACGTGGACTCTCCATTGGTCCTTATATCCAGAGGTAATGAGGTGGTACAATGTGACCTCCCAGAGTGATCTCTACGGCCTCACACAAACCCGGCCTCCAGGGATGGCTTGTAGGTCAGTATCATGGTTTTTGATAATTATCCTTTAATCACTACAGTACTGTACTGTACAGTAAACCCGTGTTATTCGTGGGGATGGGTTCCAAGGAATGGCATGAATAGGCAAAACCGCAAATAGAATAGACGTATACTACCTTAGTGCTCGTCCCCTCTTTTAACTTAACAAATGATTCAACTTTCTTTGTCAGGGTCATCACTGACGTCTGCCTTTTACATCTCACTCCACTAGCACACACTAGGCGGTCTTTTAGGGGCCACTTCACACAAAAACACTAAAGTTTTGAGAGTACAACACGAGATGCCGCATTAATATTCAGTTGTGCTGCGGGAAAAAGCTCACAAGCTAGCCACCATCTGCTTACCGCCAATCGTTGAAATCGCTAATTGCAAACCCACGAATGGCAAGGGTCTACTGTACTGTCCTAGATCTTTCATGAGTTAGTGGTAATTTTCTACCCATGTATGGGTCTTCATGGAGGTATCTGTTATGCTTCCCTTATTATTATTAGGATAGTTGTACTGTATTTCCTAATACATAAATACTGTATATACTGTATAAATACAGTAAGAATACCAGTACCGGTATATAGAAGATAAGTGAATAATATGTAAGGATATTTTGTTAACCACTGTGTAGGGTGATCTCTCTCTCTCTCTGCTGAACAACTTTTTCTGGCAATGGCCAAATAAAATATTAAAATTGGTGTATATTAGTCAAGGAGTTAGTGATACTATTACTGGGTATCATTGTTATTTTGTTTGTACAGTACAGTATACAGTACAGTACCCATACTTTTAGTCAAGGTTGGATCCGTAAATGGATGGCTTAAATTCACAATTGTGAATACGTGCCCGGTAATGTAATGGGCAAATAAGGGATAGAGTGTTGGAAGTATTGAGACCATCCAGTACTGAACAGTATATGGTGTACAGTGGTGTTATAATGCATCACTTGTACACTATGATGGAAAATTTACACGGAAAACCTTTCTACTGAATCGATGAATCATTAATTAATAACCTGAGATGATGGCTGAGGGCTGGTAAATGTGAGGAGAATGGTGCCACCTTCCCTGCTGTTCCTCACTCACTGTATTCTCTTCATTTGTGTACAGTACAGTCTGTGTAAAACACCCAATGGCATAATGTTGTTTGGAGAAAAAAAGAATCGCTAGAGTGCTATATGGTATACAGTACAGGGCCAGTTACGGAGTTTCCCCACATTAAAGAAATACTTATTTCTCTTATATAATCTATTAATGTTGGATTTTATATAATAAATTAACAGTTGTAGTGTACAATACAATTTTTTGGTAAAATAGGTTATAATTAATGATGGAAAATAGCACCACACACCACGGGAGCACTCTGCTAGTTTTTGGCTCGTTATAACTTTACTTCATTTTCATTATAGCTATTAATACAGAAATAGCAGCACAGGAGCTGTACATATACAGTACAGTACAGGGTATACTTTAATTTAATTTTATTTGGATGTGCTTATGTTCTTGTGTTATGGTTATATTGGACAAAACTAATCAGTAAATGAGATGTGATAATGAAGTGTCCTTATCAGTTTTGGTTGTATGGCATGATACTCTGTGTAAATTGTTATTAATATTCAAGATTATTTATAAACAACCTTTCCTAAGAGTGTCTGCACATGTACCCCCTCCCCTCCACCTGTTGTATACATACTCTCACACACATCTCAACGCTTTCCCCTTCTCTATTCCTTCCTCCCCCACCTCTTCCCTCCCTCCCTATTTCTACTTCTCTTTCCCTCATCATTTCTACTCCCTTCTCTTTTATCTCTGTTCCTCCCTCCCCCACCTCATCTCCCCTCTGCCTCCCTTCCATGACACAGTTTTCAGCACTATACTGTACCAGGTCTGGGTGGTTAGTTTGAGTTATCTACCAGTGCAGTACTGTGCTCAAAACTTAAGTGGATGATTGGCTGAGCTGTTAACTAAACCTTCTATTCCCAGAAGTTAAGTGGAAGATTGTGGTGGTTGTTAATTAAACCTTTTTCTCCTCCACTCAGGTGACTGTGCATGAAGAGGATGGGGGTCAACGCATCATGTCAGGCTGATGCGGGGGTCGGTCCTCAGGCCATCTTCAGCGCGTAAGTCAATATATTTAGTTGTGTGTGTGTGTTTTCCCAAGTTTTGAATAAGGTTGGAAGGTTAGGCATGAATTTATTGATAAGATTGTAAATGGGTTTCATGTGTCACCATTGTTTATTTTTGGCCAATGTTTTAGGTTAGGTAGGAGGTCTTGGTAGATCTAGCTGACTGTTGTAAATATGTATCAAACTTAGTCTATTATTGCTGGATGGTTTTTCTAAGTTCTGTGTGTGGTAAGAAAGTTATGTAGGGCTGTTATGCTGTAGTGAGAATTACATCTTTTGTGATTATGTAGGTATAGTATCTTAGATATTTGAGACCCACTTGAAAACACAATGAGCAGCCATGAACACACATATTTTCATGTATTTTGTTGAAAGTGTAGGATTGTAAATACTGTAGGCCTATGTATCATGAACACTTTAGATCATCTTTGGTACACAATTTGCTTTTATTTATGATGGGTCGAGGTTGTGAGGGAGGGAGGAGTGCTTGATGACCGCTACTGTACTGTACATGTATCCAAGACTTCCTGCCTCTGGATCTTGGGTTTTTCTAATATTTTTTCAAGCTTTAGCTATGTCTTGGAGTTGTTTCATCTGTTTGTTACATTTGTTTTTACAGGGGTTTGGTTAGGTTAGGTTAGGTTTATGTCGTAAGTGCAGGAACATAGTGCCTTGTGTTTAGTGTAAATATTGTAAATTTCTTCTTCCCAAGATCTTCTCTGTAATTTATGTACAGTACATAATTCTCATGTAGTGACTAAATTCACATGACTATTTGTATTTGTCACTTCAAAAAGTGTTTACAGTTTTGTCAAGTGTTTCAGTGTTGACAATGGTGTAAATAATCCTCAATGTTTGGATACATCTCTTCATTGTAGTTAGTTGTCAGTGTAGATAATGGATGAGTGTAGTACAATATATGAGTGGGGGAAGAGGAGACAGGACCACTGTACAGTATCTACAGGAAGGAGAAGCAAAGATGGAAGATGGTGTGAGATATAGGGAACGAAGGACAGGGGGTGGGGGGCATTGATCAGGTCTGCACACTTGTATCTTCATTTAGGGGTTAATGCATATTTATCCCTGTTCCTGATTTTGTAAAAACTTTACATTCCTAGTGAGGGAAACCTTGACATTTCCCTACCTTAAGTTTTTAGGTTGCAGTAGGAACAGCTTGGCACTTGTGTAAGTCATATTTTTTTCTCCACAACATACTGTGTGTCCCTCTGTTAGGGCTTTCTCAGGTACAATATCAATCAATCAGTCAGTCAGAGTACCGTCCTCATATCTAAGGGGTGGTGACCACAGTGCTGCACTCTAAACATTCTCGGGCTGTTTTTACCAATCCTCTAAGGTTTTGTATCTCTGGGGACCCAGTTTTGAATTTAATCCATCCATCCCAGTCTCTGCCTTCCTCTGCCCATTAATATTTCTGTTATTGTCTCCTCATCCCTACTTATATATACTTCTTCAAGTGTTTTCCTGTCAGGTATGAACACCTCTAAAACCCTTCATTACTCCCAGGAAGGCACCTTAGAGGATTCCCAAGGATTTCCTTTACCTTAATCTCACATAATAGCTATGTACTTGGCTCTTATTTCACCTTCAGCTCAGTGTTGTGACTACAGTACAGTATATCTGTCATGTAGTACATTATTGTCATGTTAATGATATTGAGGTGCTTTTAAATTTGTGATTTAAGTAGCACTTTATTTCAGTTGGGCTCAGTTCTTGATGCTTTGTTGTTTCAAGTTATTCCACACCTGTAGCTAACAGTGCCTCAAAATTTTAAGTGATAATCACTCCTAATACAGTAGATCCAAAGCAATATTGAGATTTGAGCTTCTGGAGTAATCTGGAATTCAAAGATTTTTGCATTTCATAAATAAAAGATGTTGGGGTTCCCTGGATTTGCGTGTTAGTTATCAGGATTTGGTCTTATGTTATGAGTTTTCCCATACAGTACAGTACTGATAGAAAGAATTACAACAGGATCATTCATGTGCTCTGCAAACAGAATGGTTGCCGATGCACTGGTTTCTCTGCCCTTGATGGTATTCTGACTTTAGAGCAAATTAGATGAAGTGGCTGTGCTGCCAGCTTCCACACTCTAGCACAGTACACTGACCTGGTGGGGGTTCTAGTCTTGGGTTTAAGATTATTGTATTCACACTTATTTCAGGATTTGAATTATTTAAACTACGTTCATTAAGTTCTTAAAAAACAAATCTCTTGAATTTCAAAAGTGTCCGTGTTTGCCCAGATTTACAGGGTGGCTTCTTGATTTTCCTTGCATCATTTGCCTATACAGTACTTGTGTTGGTGGTGTAGTGAGAGAGGACCATCAGTGGTGACTGACTGTATAGAGAGAGACAGTTAGGGACTGAGCCACCACTGTGTGTATCATGAAGGATTCATTCATTCATTGCTGCTTTGGCCTGACAAGATCCATCGGTATATGTTTTAGGCTTTAGTCAACTTTGTTTAGTATTTTATTATTAGTATTATTTCCTCTTTGGTAGCCTACATTATGGTACTGTATAGGTTATGGTAGTCTAGGTTAGCCTCTCCAGCTTTCAGTGATATTTTATATACTGTACTGTATCTTTTTCTTTGTTCTCCATTGTAGTTGTTCTGTTCACGTTTATTTTCCACAGAAGAGTTTTATTGGACATGTATTCCTCATAGTTTAGAATATTTATATAGTACTGTACTGTACTGTAAACAGGTACAGTATACTGTACTCATATATACTGTAGCTATTCAAATATTTGTCTCTGTTAGTTTCCAAATGTGCTTGGTACCGGTATTTTCTATTTGTGTTTTTATGCGGTCAAGAAAATCGGGAACTTAGGAACTTGATTCTTGCCTAAGTGTTTTTGCTATGGAAAAATTTGTTTGGGAAAAATTATTATTATAGGAAAAAAAGGGGAATGAAAACTGTAATTTTTCTAAGAATAATCCTTCACAGTACGTACTGTATATGCTGTACTTCCTGGTGACCCCTTGGTAAATGTTCCTAATTTAGACCCCCCCCCCCTCCCCCGAGTGTTTCCATGGTAGACTTTGCAGTAAAGTACCAAGCCTCGTAAATGTACTTGTTAACATTTCATCCCCACTACATTCTGGAGTTTTCACATCTATTAATTCCTCAAACAATGCTCTCATGTGTCATGGCCCCTGTTAGAGGCTATCTCTTCACTGTGTCACATTCAACATGTTCCTTCATTGTTTTGTCTAAAACTAGAGTACTGTAGTACTGTATCTATTAAGGTACTGTATAGTATAGGGCTTTTGTACAGTACCACTTTCTTCATACAGTACAGTACAGTACCAAAATATATAGTACAGTATATGTACAGTACTATACTGTTGGGTTATTTTACATTATTTATGAAAAAAGTTTTCCTGTCTTACATTTGGTGAACAAATTAAACTGTCAGTACACTACAGTATTTTCCTTTAGTATAGTACAGGGTAGTTGTTTGTTTATTCTAACTTGACCATTTAGTGCACAGTACCAAACACATGTTGTGTACAGTACCAGAATTCCCACTAAATCCTATTTATGTTTTTAAGATTGCTATGGTTAACCTAACATTGGAAAACAGATGTTTACTGGTACTGTACTTGTGAGTTGTCCCTTGTATTGTATGTTTTGATGAGAAGGAGTTTGGTCTTCTTAAGTGACGGAGACAATATGGTGGTGTTGAGGTGTTATTTTTAAGTGCGTTACAGTTTGTTTAAAATGTGTTATCAGCATAAAGTTATGTGCTTTATATTTCAATTATTTCCTATTATTTTATCCATATTTAACTAATTATTTTTTTTTATGTTTTGTTGCCTTTTGAGCAGAGGTTTTCAGGAAGCCTTCTGATGATTATTGATATTTTTACCAAATGAGAAAGTTTATGATGCTGGTTTTTAACAGCTATTTCTCCTTAAGAAGCCACTTTGGTGACAACAACCTAATTTATGGACTTTGTTTCTAGTTGGCGGCCTCCGTTTTTGGAAGTTCGGTGCCGCATTGGAGCCGCTGTGTTTCCAACTCCGTGAGCCCATGTTATATTTTTTGTCGCTTTTGCACCTTTTTTGGTACAGTTCAACCCCTTAGATTACAAGCTTTTGCAGCAATTTCTTTTCTTTTTGAAAATTTTTGTCAAAAGGTTAAATTTGTCAGACATAGATACTGGATTTATTAAGTGGAAATTAAAGATAAACTATCATTTTACATTAATAGCTACAGGTTCACTGTATTGTGCAGTATATAACAAGCATATTGTATACTTTTATGAATAATGTTATTTCATTAATCACATCTATCTGTACAGTATTTAAAAGTTGCAGGCTTTGTTTGTAACTGAGGGGTTGAATTTGAGGAGGGAGGATGAGGGCAGTTTTTTGGCACCAAATTTTATTTTGTTTAGTGATTATTTAGTTACCACCAGCTTTTTCAGTACAGTTCATGGTTTAGAATTTTCAAGTCAAGAGTAAATTTTTTACATTCATGACAAGAGCAAATACTTAACTGAGGTAGATGTTAATACAAAAGAGATTAATTGTTTGAAGAGCCGCTGTGTAGAGCATCAGGTGTAAGATGTAGACACCTGATAACACTCGCTATACTGTACCTCATGTTTCTCATTGTTTTACTTCCCTCTTGCTTATTTATCTTCCCCTCACTCAAGACCTTGTACTGTGCCAGTCTCTCTTACTGATACATCACTACTGTAAATATTTATTGTATATCTCTTCCTTATATTGTATATCTTTCTGTTCTGTATCTCTTGTATATACAGTATATGTACTAAAGTGTGTGGAGATCCCTGACTCTACTATGGTACAGTAGTTTGTTGTTGCACTACTAATCATTCAGCTGTTCTTCCCACATCATGCATTAGAATGATAGTTGCTAGCACTAACTTCTTATTACTAACAGGGAGCAGTAGCTTACATGGTTAATAGTCAAGTGTTTAACTAGTGATGAATCTGAGATGATAGTGTTAGCCACCTGGCCCATCCACCATCATTAAGGAAGACACAGTATCAGGTCAACTTGTACCAGTATATGCATGTGGTAATGACAGGTTGTTGAAGTACTTGTGCTTTACTGTATTGTATTTTAATACTTTTGCAATAGAAATATGGTAGTTATTGTTAACAGGAAAAAAGGTGTTAGTAATTATTTTTTCCCAACATTGTTTTATTTTGGGTTAAACAAGAGTGTGAAGATACCCATCCATGGTACTCTGAAGAAAAAATATTAGGGAAGAAATAGATAATTGTTTTTAATAGCTACAGCATAAATGTTGGTGTGAAAGTGCAATCAGGAACTCATTGCCTTGACTATTAGGAATATTATTAGAAGTAATTAGCATGGTGAACATTAATGAATTACAGTCCTCCTTCATTTAATGTGATTTATCAAAAAGAAAATTGACAAAAGATAGTATGATGGTTGGTGTCCACATGGGCCCCAGACCTATTATTCTCTCACTTAACCAAACCATTAGTGTTGGGTCTGTGGGCCTGGAACCATCTAGTACTGCACTTTGTTCAATGAAGACTAGAACTCATTAGGAAGGGGCCCTAACCTCCATAGTTGTTAGGTTAGAGTGGAATCTATTAGGATTGGGCCTTATATTACAGTACAGTACTGGTCATTCCTTGAACAACCTGTTGCCATACATCATGACACTCCACAGGGTCTCACCTCTGTTGTCTCTTATTTAAAGCTCAATTGAAGATAACGTACTTGTATGAAATCTCTCATTTGAAGTACCTTGAAGTGAACTATACATAATTGAAAATTTTAAGGTTCATACAATATTTGACACTTGGATGTAGAAAAAATAGATCTTGTAATGGTAAGAAATTACAGTACTATACTGTATACAGTATATAGAAACTGACCGAGACAAAATAACCGTTACAAGATGTTTGTATGTAAGAGTCATGTAATATGTGTGTCAGGCATGTGATTCTTTGTTCATGTCCCCCTCCCCTCCAAAAAAATCGCCTCAGGTTTTAGAATAGAGGTTCAAACACAGAGTCACAATGTAGTGTTGATGCTTGTAGACCTCATTGTGTGTCTTAACCGTTCATGTGGCTATAGATCAATTAATGGTCTCCTAATTTTAAAAGGCCCCAGTTTAACCTAATCTAATGGTTAGGTTGAAGGTTGAATTAGGGGCCTGTTAAGACTGGGGCCCATTTAATCAGTAGCCCTTCCACAGCATCATTATTTTTTATTCATATTTGCATTAAAACATTTTTCACACCTTAGATTTATAACGGCTTATTTGCATAACTCATTAATGCTCACTTGTGATGGGTTAATAAATTGTCCTTGTGATTTTGATTATGTACCGTGTATATGCGTATGTTTAGTATGGCGAATGATGCCTAGATAGATAGACAGAAAGATGTCATTAATTCAAGGCCAATAGTGACAGTAGTTGCAAGATCAAGTTACTGTATTAATAGTTATAAGCACTAACACTTTTTTCAGTTCTAGAGTTGTTTTATAAGTTTGTGGATGTGAATGAATGTTTGTGTTCATCCTGCATGTTTCCTTCTGATTCCTTAGATTTTCATAAACAATTTTTCCCATTGATTTGACTCTTACTTGTTATGCACAGTATAGTGATATGAAGTGCTGTGTAGGAACAAAGGACTCATTTTGTATGCTGCATATGCAAGTGGTGTGTGTGTGTGCGTGCGTGCGTGTTCTTCTTCTTCTCCTTTATCAGATTATTACAGGAAAGTTTGGATTGCCTGAAGACTAGCCCCAGCTTATTTCCCCTAAAGATTAACCTAACCTAACCCCTCCAGGTAGCATTAGGGTGTTTAATCATCAGGTGAAATGAGCCGGGGGGAGGGCTAAGCTTCAGGTGGTGAAGTTGTCCCTATCATTACTGACTCCAAATTTCTTGCTTGATTTTAAGGTATCTCAGAAGCTACAAGAGGTAAAATGTTACAACTCTTGACACTAGACATAAGATTTGTAGGGTCTCTATTTTCAAGCTGTAATGTTCCTGTTTGTTTGTTTTTTGACATTGTTCATATTTTCTTTTTGAAAATTGAAGATTGTTCAAAGTTTCTTTGGTCACATTGATAAATTTTCTGCAATATCACTACTGTACGTTCTAGCTGAAAACCAGCATATCTGCCCTAGTTGTAATTAATGGACAATTGATTATAAATAAATTAAGAAGCTCAAGTAAATGTAATTAATCCACCGCTTGATATACCAAAATGTTGTAATCCTTGTTGTTCACTTGCCGTACCATTGAGAAGCTGTGTACATCAACTCAACCCTCTGATAATGTGCCTCTACATCAGCCCAGGCTTCCATTTTTTTCTTTTTATTATTAATTTCATAAAATATTTTGAGTAATTTACTTTCAGAACTTTTCCATAATTACAGTACAGTACATTATCAAGTTATTGACTGCAGAACTTTTTTCTTAATTGTCAAAGTTATTGAATTGCAAACCATACCATTTATTTCCTTTGTTTTTATGTACAGAAAAGTGGATTATATACAGTATACAAAAGGAGAGGAACACATTGAGGGTTGGCTCTCTCTTTACTGACATTCTGAACATTTTGATGAACACAGTGAAGAGGCTCTACTGTACAGTATATATTGCTGTGCCTGTCGTTTAAATTGAACCTGAGATTAAGTTAGTTATGAATCAAGCTATAGCTTTGGAAACAACACTCATGCAGGATCCTTGGAGTTGAGGATAATGTAGTTGGAAAAAGGAGGTCTTGATAGCCTCTGTGGCTGATAGTAAGTTAAGTGCACAAGAAATCTGGGTAAAGAAAAACTTCACCAACTTTTTATGTGTGAATATTATAGCACAAGTTTCCAAGATACAGAGAAGCACAAAACAAGAACTGTAGAACTAGAACAAAGTTATCCAGACAGTACCTATACTACTGTACTAGTAATACAGTAAAGGGAACTAGAAAGATAAGGCATGGAAACCTTAAGGCGATGTTGGTAGAAGTACAGTACAAGACTACAGGGTATATGGTTATAGAATCTATGAGGAACTGATAAGTAGACCTTACAGTACAGTACTGTATATTATTTTATCTTAGGTGAGGTTAGCATAGGGTTAAACAAGACTGATGGGTATATGGTTATAGAATCTATGAGGAACTGATAAGTAGACCTTACAGTACAGTACTGTATATTATTTTATCTTAGGTGAGGTTAGCATAGGGTTAAACCTGTTGATGCTGCCCCAACACTCCACGGGTATTGACCGTTATATGATGGATCTATACTTTATAGAATCGATCAAGTTTACCACGTTAAAAATTAATACCATTTACCTCTATGTGCTGGCTAAGATAAGTTTTACAATCGTCACTACCAGAATGCTTTTCCCGCATTTACACGGCAATGAAAAAGTAATGTGCAGTAACTAGAAATATTCCGAGATAGTTTGATGCAATCTTAGAAGGGCATAACTTGTGCGACCCATGTGGGAGGCTCTGCCCGTTCCCGGTGACTGCCAGGTTGAACTGCGTCACTCACCTGGAGGATGGTTTGTGCATTCAAGAAGCTATGTTTTGTACAGTACATGAAATAATAGATACTTTACCACTAAATGTGAGAATAAATAAAAACAATAAATAAAGGAAAATACAAAAAATATTGCATTGCCCTTTGACAATACCGTAGTGTATGATAATTATTGATTTATTTATTATTTTTTGCACATTCTGTAGGAAAGATTAGGTTTTCCTCCCCGAAGTTACGAGTTGAAAAATAACCGCCCTGGGTGATAACTCGGGCTCGTGAGGGTCTCGGGAACAGAACGTATTTCCTCATAAGTTATTAATATTGATATATGAACGATCTTTTAATGATAGCTTTTTGTAGTTGTAACCCCATCATATAACAGTCAACAACTATATAGCACAGTATAAAAAATTATAATTTAATTAAAAAAAATAGGTACAGTATACAGTACTGTACTGTACTTATATTTAATTTTGAGTTCAAGTTGAACCTTTCTTCTGTAGGAATTGAAACATGTGCACAGGAAAATAATTGCCACAAGTGAATGGTTGCATATATACAGCACACTTAAACTTAAAAGTACTGTACATGTACAGTAGCTAAACCAACTATCTATGCCGTGGGGGTCGATATGCTCTGAAATTTTACGTAAGTAGTGACAGCCCTCATATACCAAAATTTATCGTCCATGGTCTCATATTGTTTCCCACAAAGTATGCACATATAGTTGTATTAGCTACTGTACATACAGAATTGTACATTGCACGAATTTACAAACTTGAATGTGGGTTGCATGCATACATGTCCAGCATAAGCATTACATGCATGCACCTGGGTACACACACGTACACTATGCATGTTCACATATGTACATATGTAAAGAGCATACAATATTTGTATGAAGTTTAGTGTTACAATTCCCATACGCTATTGTTATAACCCAAAGCATGTCTTCATGCACCATACCACAGTACTGCAGTTCACACATATTGCATCCAAACAATATTTTCACTTGTCAATAATGACATTTAATTTTATTAAATACTGGTGGTAATATCAGTTATAAAATTTTTGCCGGAACAGTGGCTAAAATCCGTACTTCTATTTAAGATACAAATTATTGTCGTACCATTTGTATATTAATGAACTAAAGCTGCCCTGTCATTTCCACCTAGATTGCTTTTTGGCAATATCCTTTTTCATGCTGCTTCACAATTTAGAAATTGAAACTAGTAGTTTAAAATGTATACTTTAATTCTATAAGTTAATTTTTATTATTTTATGCATGATGTGTCTAAGAATTCAGATCAATGATATGTAAGTACAGTAGTGTCTGTCTGTATGTTCTTTGTAATTAAGAAGCTGAAATTAATGGTTTAGCTAGATTATATACAACAGTTCCATTTGTTTTTATGACCTACAAACTGAAGGTTATGTTGTAAATTACATACATTACATTAATGTTTTTACATGGGTTGTGTAGGTACAGTACAGTATGTTAACTTTCTCCTCCCTGGACTTTGAAACACCTGTAGTCAGACTGTCAATTGTTTTTTATGTGTGAGTGTGTTTGTGCAGAGTAGATATTGTATATACAGTACAGTACTGGCGGTGTTTATGGTCTCTTTAAGTTGTTTTCCAAATACCGTAGACATGGATGGATTTATAAAATAGTGTTTTGAAATGGAAATAATATAATCAGTATTTACTCTACCTGTATAAGGAATGTGTTTATGTGCTGCTTTGTAATCTTAGAAGAAAAGGTACAGGCATTCTCAAATTTATGAAAGTTTAAGTTCCCAAAAGTCCTTTTGTAAATCAATTTTTCATAAATTGGATCACATTTTCCCATAGACTCTCATCATAAAGTTAGAAAAACGTTATTACAAAAAATAACCCTCTCCAAAATGTCTTAAAATGCACAAACATGTTTTTAGTGAATGCAACAGTTATAAGCAAATAATAGACATACCAGTAATAAGTGAATTACTGTATAATTATGTAGTAGTACAGTACAATACAGTAATGATTTCATACCTGTATAGAAGACCCTAGATATTTGCAGGGGTGAGGTTCTTGAAAACCCTTCTAGCATGGGAACCTTAGTTCAATGGAAAAAAAGAGGGTTGGATTTCAGGAATGATTGAACATGGTGGGGGGGGGAATACTGTTGTAAACTAAATATCTGAGAACAATGACTACAACAAACACTAACCAGTACAGGTACTGTACCTGTAAAAGCTAATAAACTCTAGAAAGTACAGATAATGTGTTTTTCCTTATCTTTGATGATAATACAGTACAGTACAGGTTGAAGCTCCCATATCCGGCAACAATGGGACCGACTCTGATCCGGATATAGGAAATTAACATTACAGTACAGTATTTAGAAGGTCATAATTCTTATTTACCGATACTCTGTATACATTGTCTTTTATATAATTTCCTCAGAAGTGTTTTAGGTGTAGAAAAACACAGATTGGTACAGTACAATACTGTACATGTATGTACAGTAAGTCCTCACTTAACGTCGTGGTTACGTTCCAGAAAACGAGACATTATACAAAATAACGTTAAGCGGATCAATTTTCCCCATAAGAAATAGATAAAATGCAGGAGTTATGTTCCCCCTCCCCCTTGCCCCATGAAATACATTACATATATACAGAAAATCATTGCCATTTCTATAGAAAATATTGCATACATATACAACTGCTAAGTTTGTATTGGTACTCACTGATGGGCGAAGGTGGTAGGGCTAGTGTATGGTGGGTAGTGGAGCGAAGGAGTCCGCCGCTGGTTGCCCCTCCTCGGCCTTTGGCTGTTGTGAAGAAGCTGCTTCTGCCATCCCACGACGAAAAAATTAATTGGGAACTGCCTGTATACAGTTCAGTACCTGTGTAAATTACACATTACAGTCGACATATTTCTTTTATGTTTTCTATTCTATGGATTTCTTTTTGTGAATATCGTATGTAAAATTTTATTTCTTGTGATAGATTTCACTTCAGACGTTGGGCACACACGAACAATGTGAAAATTATGAGTGTCCCTTGTTATCCTGGGAGGGGGACACTATATTGTATGGGTTCTATCTTGAGTCAGTACAATACAGTACACTAATAGATTTTAGTTAAGTTTGGTATGTGGATCTATCACAACAATATCTCTGACAGAATCAAAACTCAGTATATTATCATTGTTGTACAGAATTCTGGCCCCTTAGGCTTTGTTATAGCACAGCAGAGGCTTATCCACTTTTCCAACCATCTGTATTAAATGATGCATTATTGACATTTTGTATATTTTAAAAATCTTTGAAAGAAGTGTAATAAAATTTCAGTGTACAGTACTGTACTGTATTATTGTAGAGAAAACTGGGCATGTAGATGGGGAGGGGGAATGTCTTGGATTGCCCAGTTGGGTTGCTAATTAAAGAAACTGTAACAATATTAATATTGCTCTAAAAAGTACTGAAGCTTGCAGTATTGTCCTTATGGAGTTGTAGTATAAAAATATTTGTTTGGGCCGCCCATGAAAGCTAAAATAGCCCCCAAGTTATGTTCAATAATAAAAAGGTAATAATACAAGGGTTTGTACAAAAAAAAATCCCATCAAACAAATCATTTATCTTAGCTCATAACTAGAAATAAATATTTGCTATGTACTGTGTAACTATTAATTTTTTATTTTATCCCTTTTGTGATCAATTTATCCATCATGTTGTGTAGGCTCCACTTTCTGCAGTATCAGGGTGACTGCTGTACTGTACAGCTTACTGATTGGTTTTCTCCTACAGGGAAAAGAAAAAGAAATTGACAAGCCTGGCAACCTTACGAAAGAAGCTGATTCGTCGGCGACGGTCATCCAAGTCATGTGACCATGCACGTGTGATCCGAGAGTTGGTGAGTGATTGGACGGTGCGGGAAGTGACGGCGTTGTACGAGGAGTATGAAGCAAGTGCCGCTCTCAAGGATCTCACCGTGCAGGTAAAGAGACTACATACTGTATACTGTACTGTATTGTACCTAGGAGGTGATGTTTACTGTCAAAGGCATAATGTACCCAGGAAATGATGTAGTATGAGTCTACTGTACTGTCAGAGGATAAGGCATTTCACAAGTTTGTGCCTAATCCAACCTAACCCAACGTTCTGTTTATAAAGTTAAATATGAATGACAACTGGTAGATTATCTGGCACATTCATGAGACTCATCCAGTCTGCTCTGCTTCTGATAAACTATCTACCTGTACAGTAAAGTAATCCCCCGGGTTATGGCAGGGATGCATCCTTGAACAGTTGACCATAACGTGAAGTTCTTTAACTTGAGCCACATTTTCCCATTGACTACCATTATATAATTGGAGATGCGCTCCTAAAGAAACTTTTTGGGCAAAATGATGTAATGCAAGCACACTTATGAATAAAAATAATAATTTTTAATTGCAGGCATTGATCAATTTTTAATATAATATGAAAATAAATATACAAAGCACTTGATTTTAGCTCGCTACAAATGATGTTGAGTGCTGGGTGAGGTGAGGTGAGGTGATGGAATGGCAGTATTGGCAGACATAGTAAGCCCTGATGTTTTTGTAATCAGGCTGTTTTTCTCTAATATCAAACTTCATAAAACATCAAGTTTTATATCCAGCATAATTCCTTTATGGGCTCTTTTAGCATTACTGTTGTCACTTGCACTTGTTGGCCTCTCCACTCATCTTGAATAAGGATAATACTGTACAGTCTTGAATAAGTGTTAAATCCAAGAGCTGGGGTCAAGAGATTAAATATACATGCTGGGAGATATATACAAAATGTGCCCAGCGGCGTGGGTAGGTTGCGAATCGGCATTTGGTGGTAGCAAACACCAAGAAATCCTCACCAAATAAATTGTAATGTCTGTGAAATTTTTTTTTTTCTATATCGTGATTTTTGTGTTAAAAAATTTGAAAATTTACTCCATTTCTGTAAGGTTGAAATTATGGGCTGTATCCTGAGTTTAGTTGTCATAACTTATCAATTCTGTATTGGCAAATTTCCACACCCTGAGTTTCTGTAACGTGGGGAATACCTGCACAGTACAGTGTATTCCTAAAATCCCTGATGAATATAAATAATCTCACAAAAGTACAGTAAAAATTAAGAGGTACTACTTAAGATGTTTTAAGGGAATTTTTATTTCCATCATTGACAGTAAGGTTACAACATCCCTGAATGGGTTATTGCCTGCTTATTGAATTAGACGTTGGAACCATATCTTGGCTGGCTCGTTTACTCTTCTTTTGGGGCTGTCAAAATAAATGTTTTGTTCCACTAATGTCAGGGAGTTTGATAAAACAAAACATGAAGGAAGTAATTAAGTAGGTTGTTTGAAAAGTTCAGTTCAGTATGATATGTATAGAGGGAAACCGAATATCACTTGTTGTCTGTGGAGCTACATAAAGAACTCTTATTGAACTTCTATTGATTGAAAGTAAAACTTTTGGCGTTCTTTATTTGTAGTGTTACGGGTCGCGAATGGGATATGCTGACAAAGTCGCCCCTTGTTGTGAGCATGTATGAATATGCTGCGAATATCCTGACTTGGGTCCAACGATTCACAACCGTAACAAAGTTAACTGCTCACAGAAGTTCAAAACACTTACAGAACAAGCATAGGACCCGAATAGATAACCCTCTCCCCAGGTGAAAGTAAAGGGGGAATAAAATTAGTTACATTTACTTACTACAAAACACAAAGAAATATAAACACTGTGCACATAGAATAATAAGAACCTAACTCCTAACACACAAAATAATCAACTAAATCCTAACCAAACCTACGTACAAATCTAACCTAAACAACATACGGGAAAAGGGAACACAATGGAGGAAAGTGGGAACGTAGAATTCTACTTAAGGTCTGATGGTCCCCGTGGTAGCAGAGGAGGTCCAGCCGTCCTCGTGATAACTGGGGAGAAGTAAGTCAAGTTGTACTGCAGATATCCCAGAGGAGTAGTCAAGCCTTGGGAATAGGAGTAACCAGCCAGGGCAGTAGCTGAAGGTGTACTTGCTGCACTCGGGCAGGAGAAGTCGTTTTCGGCTCCGGTCGAAGACTGTTGAGTAGGTGAAGCAACCGAGAACCAGGGTCTAGGTAGGAGGTGAAACTGCAAGTATGGGCACAAAAGTGACGAATCAACCTCCTAGATGGCGTGGACAGTTTGGTTGACGGGGCAGTTACCAGGCGAAGTGCCGATAATTAGTGATGAGACTACGGCCCAATGAAGGTTGGGTCGTAACAGTAGCTATATCCTGCCTTTTGCCGAAGCTTTGTCAGTTTTTCAGAGTAAATGTTTAACTCTTAGGCTTTGGGTCACTTCATATTTCTTTTTTAATTTTGTGGTACTGCTTGTATCACCACAGAGGCCCGACATGGTTATGTTGCCAAGTTTGCATTTATGTTTCAATTGCTCACATATGTGAGCCTCTCAGTCTCCATTCTCAGTAGCTTCTCATCTTTTGTGATGTAAGGATCGCACCCTTGGATTTCACGCGCCTTACCTCATATTTCTACCCCCCAAGTACAAGTATAGTAGAGGACTCTTGACCATCAGCAGATTCGTGATCAGTTACTGGAAGCAGTAATAATAATTGTAAATAGTAACATAAAAACAAGTGTCCTGTAACTCGTACTGCCTACAAATCAGTGTCGTTCATCTCACAGTATTGCCAACCTCACCCCACTGCCTCACACACATGCCTTTTTATGCACATTCTCGACTCTTCCTAGCCCCTGTGATGCCGACCTGTGACAAGTACATGAATTTCTTTTCTGTTTATATCATGCATGACCAGTTTGTAAATTTAGATATGTATTTGTTTGTTTTTAAGATTTGGGGGAATAAACCTTGGGGGAAGGGGGGGGGGGGATATGCCTACCATAGCCCCGTGCCTGCTGGTTAAAACTGGGACGATCATTTGTAAACACCTAGTACTGTACAGTAAATTAGTATCGTAAATGAATTTGTTGAAAAATGGAATAGTGTCATTCAATATTTTAAATAATATAATACCCTGTGTTAGTATTTTTCTATTTACATTATTATATCTTGTTGAAATTTGAGCAGAGATTAACAAACATCATTGGTTTGGTTGGTATGTGTTAAATTATAATAGATATAGTCTTGAGGCTTTACATAAAGTGTAGCTTCAGAGTTTTACAGAATATCTTTAATATCTAACTGTGGTTCTTTATAAGGCTGACCTCGCTCGACCACCGGCCCCGACCTACAAACAGGACCTGAGTGACCTCTTCGACTACAAGTACTGCACAGATGTTGACCTGGTGTTCCAGGGAGCCATCTTCCCCGTCCACCGGGCCATCCTCAGCATCAGATGTCCTTATTTCCAGGTACTGTACCACACATTTTTATTCTCAGGGACAATGAAGTTATGGTGGGGGGAATACTGTATACAGTAGTCATGATGCTGTCCACCTGCATAATAACTTCGAGTTGTATTGGTCACATAATGACTAAACTTCTTACATAAGTTCTTGATAAACATAAAATTTGGTTTTGCTTTGTATTGTGGGGATCACCACCAGTGTTGCAGTGCCAATTTATAAGGTACCAGAACTGTCAAAATAATTTCCGTTTCCTAAACCGTATCTATTGATGCATATATATATATATATATATATATATATTATGATATATATATATATATATATATATATATATATATATATATATATATATATATATATATATATATATATGTATATATATATATATATATATATATATATATATATATATATATATATATATATATATATATATATATATATATATATATATATATATATATATTTGATCTAGTAGTAGTCTACTGTGCTTATCTTTTCGATATTGGTCACACATCTATAGGTCTTATGCGAGGAAGTACTGTTTTTAGGTGATTAGAAGTGCACCTGTTATCAAAGTCTTTCTACAATATTGATAAGTCATAAGATATAAGCTGATCTGACCAACTTTCCACTTAAATGTTTGAGAGCATTCTCAGGACTATTTACATTACCATACCAAATTTCATTTTTCTGTTTTATAAACCATGGCCGTGCACAGCAGAGAAACAGAAAAGTAGATGTGTTTTTAATGAGGGGGTTCCACATTTAGGGCTGGAGAGAGCTTACCACAGATGGCACTTCTGGGGCCCATGTGTGTGTTCGGGCTAAATTTCAGTTTCCTATCTTCAAAAGTGTAGCTAAGCATAGCAAACAAACAGACAGACACCATACTTTATATATTAAATAAATCCTCTGTTTTAAATAAGTTTTTATAGACCTTGGAGTGTGCAGTAGTACTCTAGGTTAGTTCTGGGATGGGAAACTATTTGAGCAAACCCTGACCTTGTGTGACCTTTCTGGAATGAACAAAATATTGAAATTATCTTGGCTATATTGTGGTACCTGGTAGGAAACAAGTTGTACTGTACTTGTAATTTTAGTTTTATGGCTTTAGGCATCATTTTAGCACCATTTACATGAGACTGGGTAATAGTTTATATGCAGATGTGTGTATGTGTTCCTTTTTATGGTTACTTTCTCATTATCTAATTTTCTTCCTTGTTCCAGGAGGTGTTGAAAAAGATACCAGGATACGGGGCCCAAATTGGTGTGGATATACGGACTCCTGGCATAGACATCCCAATGTTTAGTGCTTTGTTGCGTTACTTATACACCGGTGAATTTAATGCTTATGATGGAACTAGCAAAGCTCAAATGGGCCTCAGTAACTTGGACATGTTAATGCAGTTGTGCGAGGAATTTGGGACGCCCAACCCCCTCGAGTGCGATCTTAAGTACCTGTTGGAGTCTGGCGATTATGCCGACTGTGTGTTGGTGTTTTCAGCGAGTGGGGATGTGAACCAGTCTGACCAAAGTGGAGAGGCTGGCCCGTCAGACTATGGTTTTCACAATCGGTTAGAACTGTATTGCCACAAGGCTATTCTTAGTGCACGCTCACCGTTCTTCAGAAGCCTAATTCAGCGAAGACAACGATACAGTGAGGACATGTATGAAAGGGGCATCCCTCAGCCCACGAGAATAGTGTTAGACGAAGGCGTTATACCCAAGAGATATGCGCGAGTGCTCCTCCATGCTGTGTATTTAGATACCTTGGATATAACTTGTATTATACGTGATTCCACCAGCACCAACAGTCTGAGTGAGGCACAGAGCATCGTGCAGACGGGTCGAACTCAAATGACGATGGTGGAAGAGGCTATGGAAATATACCAAATCGGTCGCTTTTTGGAGCTGGACATCTTAACCCAGGTAAGATAGATAGCTATGAATACTTGTTTGTGTGTTATATATTGAGCCAAAGTGACATTATTATTATTATTATGATTAATATTATTATTATTATTATTATTATTATTATTATTATTAAGTAAAAAGTGTAATTGATTGCTAACAAAGTATATTTTTGCTAATGAACCAAGTGCACCACAGCTCATTTACTAGTACTGTATATACTAAGTAAACCACCTTTATGCACTTGAAAACAATTTGGTTATACAGTAGCTAGTATGAATAGGTGATGTACAGTTTGGTTATACAATGTTATTAATAGATAGTGAACTGCAATTTGCTACAATGAATATGAACCAAACCTAATATCCTGAAGAGTGGTTGGTTAAGTTAAATTTGGGAGATACATATTTACTAATAATAAGTAAAAGATGTACCAGTAGTAAAAAATAGGAATAAGAGTTGATATAAATTTGATATAGACCTACACTATGTATTGTTTGTAGCTCTTAATGACATGCAAATGAGGCTGATTTTCTGTTTTAAATAATAAATTGGTTGAAGAAGTACAGTAGTGCTGTCTCATATAACTGAAGTGTGTTAGGGTAAGTGTGATATCATAACACTGAGTTGTATGTATGTATTGACCAGTGTATGAGAAGTAAGATTGGATCACTGATACAATCAAATCATCAACATTTATATAACTGTCTTGCAAGTTGGAAACTGCCCTTGGTGGAGATTAATGGTCACAAACACACTTCTCCAAATTCTTCATGAACTGGCCATCTCTAGAGTGTCAGGATTTAAAGACAACACTTAAGATTTAGTTAAATACCTGTTTAAAAATTCATGTTGGCATAACTTGGCTATCATATAGTGAAGCAGGTGCAGTTGCACTGTATGTAGTTATAGTATGGTACCAAGGTGTAAGACCATAGCTATATAAGAGATGAGAACTGTCTGACCAAGTACAGTACAGTACACACAAGAGGAAGGAAAGCATAAAGAAAGAGGGAAAAATAGTATTTTTTTGAGAGGACACTGTGAAGGTGGAGAAGTGTTTCAGGTTTCCTGGTGGTAATGCAGAATATTACCTGGATTATTCCTAAAGAGAACTCCAGGGGCTTCTCTACTTTCACATAATGTTCTACAACCAAACTTATCACAACATTGTCTGCCTGTACTGTACAATTATATCAGAGTGGGAGAAAAAGTAGTGTATTTGTCTCTTATTTATTTCACTTTTATAACCCTTCTGGTATATTGATGGTTGGGTACAATCAAGACAGGTTCTCCCTCCATTCACTGTCATATATTCACTCTTACCTGCTGTGTATATGTGGTAAGAAGAAGACTAGAGTCGACCTTTTTTTCTTTATTGTTCATATAACTGACCCAGGGCAGTATGGCATCTGGAAGAGAGCAAAAGAATTTTCTAGTAAGTGAAGGGAACAATGAAAATTACTTATATAATGTAACCCCAAACAAAACAAAACCCAATGATAAGAAACATAACATATGTACAAACACACATAACAAGACAGAAGACACGGGTTCAAGTGTAGCATAACTTTATTACAGAATATAACAGATTTGTTCTGCTATGTTGTTCCCCTTCCACAACAAGACCTCAAGACATCTACAGTGAACCCTCAAAGATCCGGACTAAAAGGGGGGACCACCTGTCTGGAAAAGCCGATTTCCGGATTTTCCGGCGAATAATAAATGATATAAGAAACACCAAAAATACAGTACTAATGTAGTGATAAACAAATTGCTGTACTGTATATAAACCATGCATTTACCTGTGATAACGTAATAAGAAACATTGTATCATTACTAGAGTCATTGAAATATTATTCCTACAAATACAGTAACAATTGTCAACTGTTTATATGTTTCCTACTTCCTCGGGCACCTGTGTACCCTCCAAGAATGTGAGGGTACATTATTTATATTCTTATGCTAACAAAAATTTTCGACCAGGGTTGTGAGGACATGATAGTGGAGTCGCTGAGTCTAGACAACCTGGTATCCATTCTACGGTGGTCGGGGGAAGCTCACGGCTCGGCGTGGGTCCATCGTCAAGCTCTTCATTTTTTGCGAGAGGAGTTTTCTCAGGTAATGTCCATGCACTAAGGGTGGACTGTTTTTCTGCTATTAATGACATTACTTATTGGATATACATAGAGGTCTTGGAGGAGTCATTCAACAGGTTTAAGGTAATATTGATTATGGAAATATAGTAGTACTGTACCTGTAATTATGTAAAAGTATTGCCGTATTTTGCTGCAGATAGGACACGCCTTTTACTTCAAAATTTTACCCTCAAAATCACCCTGTGTCCAATATGGTGAAGGTCAGGATTGGGGTCCAGCTTGGGATCTCGGTATCCCCCTAGTTTAAGAATCCAAACAACTTCAGAATGAATATATATGGTATATTACAGGAATAATTTCATTTAATGAAGAGAACAATTAAAACAGTAATAAATAAACAAGAAATATTCAGTAAATGACTGCGATAATTCTTGAAACTACCGACAGTGGCCAGGCAAACCGCTCGTTGTAATAGATGTTTACAGATTTCCCACCAATAACTAGGGGTGCAGTGCTGCCGGAGCCCACCGGAGTGCAACTCTGGCACCTCTGTTTTGATCAATCAATCAATATCGCCGATGCCTTGTTCCCTCCCAGGAACTTCCCAACAGGGGGTGGTCATGGCAGAAATGTCTCCAGGCCAATTTATCCTTGCACACCTCACTTGCTCTCTCAAACACCCTTCCTCCCTTTCCCGCTCTCTCTCCAACAAACTCTCTAACTCTTTTCTCCCAGGTGGCAATTAGTCTACCCCTCCCAACATTCCCCTCTCTCTTGCTATCATAAAATTTTTTTGTCAGCTTGTCTTCATGCATCCTCGGCACATGTCCATACCACCTTAGTGTATTCCTCTTCATCCACTCCACCACATCACACTTCACACAAGAAGTTATACTCTAGTAAGCTCTATAGATTACTATAAATCTATATCAATCAAGCAATCAACTTTATTTTGCATTAATAATACAAAACCGAATATATCCTCATATAATTAATCTCTCCTTCAGATCACTTTATATTTTATGACTTATCAATATTGTAGAAAGACTTTGATAACAGGTGCACTTCTAAACACTTAAAAGCCGTACTTCCTCGCATAAGAGCTATAGATGTGTGACCAATATCGAAAGGATAAGCACAGTAGACTACTACTAGATCAAATATTATAAAAAAAGTAGCTCTGGGCCTCTACTTGGTTTTTGAGAGCATTTGTTGCTTTTGGTCAGTGTTCAGTGTATATGACTTGAAACATTTAGTGTGATATTTCTCCACAGACCGGTGGAGGTTCTGTGGTGGAGGAGGTCCAAGTTGAAAGTGTTGATTGTAATCTTAAATCAACTTGGGTAATAGTGATGAACATTTCTTTGATATTTGGTTGTAATTGAAAGAAAATATAATAATGATTAATATTTTATATACATTTAGGAAATACACTGATAACCTAGAACCGTATTGGTCATCAGTTTCATGGAGGTGTATTCTACAGTGCCAGCTTTTCTCAGTAATTCATATCAGAAAATTACTACATGACAAAAGCCTTCAGTTTTAGCCCTTAAATGGTGGCCATCCTCAGTGGATGGCAGCCAACATCAGTACAGTACAGTAGATGTTTCTGTTCTTTACATTCCACTTTTGTGTATATGGGTTAGGGAATCCTTACCTGCCATTTAATGATCAAAGAAATTGTTAATTTTTTTTATCTTTTGGGGTGATAGTTTGTAGACAAGTAGGAGTATATTGTCTTTTAAGATTTTAATTATTGTGTAATTTTATCTACAGGTTGCTCAGTCGGGAGTGTTATTGGAATTGGAAAAGTCAACATTGTTAGAAGCACTAATGTCAGACTTCTTGCAAGCGGCGGAGCTAGATGTGTTACAGGCTACACTACGCTGGGGGGAACACCAGTTGCTGAGACGAATGGAAGATAGAGGTGAATATCTGGACCAATTTATTATTATAACTTCATTGATGACAGATGTACAGTACTGTAATGTCTGGGTATTCATAAAATTTTGCTTGAATTGAACATAATTACTGTATTGTACTGATATACATTTTTGGATGTACACTGTCATGAGACAAAGTGTACAATTCCAAAATCACAGCTTATGGTCAATATGTCAGGTGTTAAAAGAGTGTATTATACAGTGGTATCCCCATTAACCAGAAGAATTTGTGCAGATATTTACCAGGAACGAGATATTTTGGGGTAATTTAATAAATTTCTCATCCCAGGAAAAAAATTGCACATCTCCAAAATTTTTCTGGGTACATGGGTCCTCATTGTACATTCGAATGTGTTCCAGATAGAAGCAACTTATTATGAAACCTTTAGTGTAATTAAGGGTACTATATATGCAATCCACCATGTACAGTAATACCCCTTGAAACCTCAGCATATCAGCATACAATGGGGTCATTATAACATATTGTGCTGTATTGTACAGTATTTGATATGGAGATATATTACTAACAGCATTATTTGTTACCACTGAGTGATACAGTAATATCCCTGCTATCCGGAACAAATGGTGCAGAGCACTTCCGGGAATGAGACGACTCCCTCAAACCCGGAAAAAATCCTGTCCCAGAAATTTTTCCAGGTACTGGGAAAAGTTTAGTTTACAGAATTTTCCAGAATTTCATATTATTTCACCCTTGCAATTTGCTCCCAGACCTTGAGAAAAAAAATTGGAGGGAGTTTCTGGAATTTTTCTCAGAATTTTTAGAAAATGAGCCTGATTTTCAACCTCAGAATATGTTCCCAGACCCAGAAAAAATTTTTGGGGAGAGAGTTTCCGTAATTTTTTTTATAAGAGGACAATCTGGACCCGCCACCACAAGGGGGTGAGCAGGGGTGGGCTGAGTAAGGTCGTCTATCCCCAAGATGGCCTCACCAGCTTTCGTATCTCAAAAAAGTGGTGTCAATATAGGAAATTTGTATGAGCTTATTTTCATATATAGAATGTTCGTATCATGAGGGATACCTGTTCTGTAATTATACAGTGGTGTTTGCTTAAATAAATAAACTCTGTATCTGTCTGTGCGAGATGCGTAATTTAGACTCTCGGAAAACTTTCCCCAGTACATTGTCCTCTTGCTTAACACAGGTTGCGTTCTCAGAAAATGCCATGTTCAGCGAATCCATTATAACCTGGGGAGATAGGAGATGCATCAGGTGGACCCCAAAAGCCCCCCCCCCCTCCCCCTCCCACACAAACACACACACACACACAAACATTAAAAACACTCAAAACCAAAGTTTAAAGATATCATACAGCTCTAAAGTAGCTCACTAATACACATACATCTACAAAATTCACTAAAGTGATACCAAGTAGTGATAAAAAACGTATTCAGGCAAATCCTCGTTGAACAAACCTGTGTGAAGCGTGAGGGCAGTGGACCCAAAAAAATTCCAAAGATGTGTGATTTTTTTCCAGGAATGACAAAGTTCGTCTCCACACCCGGAAATATCTCAATCCCATAACCGCTCTGTACCAATTAATCCAGCTAACGGGGAGCAGATATCTATGTGAAAACGTTTGTTGACAACCAAACTTTGTCTCAACCTCATATATTTGTTATTGTTGATGTATTAGTGTTTTACTAACCTTGTTTAAGACCTTAGCTGTTGAAGTGAGTACTGTACCTTATACCATGAGATTATGTCTAAGTTCTGTACCTTATACCATGAGATTACTGGAGGTTGTTTCTGATGAGATGTTTTCCTTTGTAATGGGGAAAGGTCTTTAACTTGATCCAATCTGTGGGATAATTTCCTTCTCATACTAATAGATTGGGATGTAAAAGAAGAAATGTCACCTTCAATAAACTGTAAAATTGTCTTTTAAACAGAACCTAACTTAGTGTCGCAGACGACCCACTCGGTGACTCGGAAGGGTCTCCGGAAGAGGGACATGAATGATGTGGAATTGCGAGAAATTCTGTCAGAACTCTTACCTCACGTTCGAATGGACCACGTACTACCTCCCAACCATGATATATTAACCCAGGTATGTATGGACCATGTACAGTACTACCTCCCAACCATGATATATTAACCCAGGTATGTATGGACCATGTACAGTACTACCTCCCAACCATGATATATTAACCCAGGTATGTATGGACCATGTACAGTACTACCTCCCAACCATGATATATTAACCCAGGTATGTATGGACCATGTACAGTACTACCTCCCAACCATGATATATTATCTTTTCTTTTTTCATAATGAATGATACAGGTAAACTTTCAGATATGATGAGGTTAGGAAAAACCCATTTCTAGGTGAATAATCATTGATTGGGAGCATTATAACACGGGGTTCAATGGTATATGTTCCCAGCCGGTCCCCAAACACGCATGTATCACCGACAAAACAATTCCTACAATACTACTATCAGGACAAAACAATTAAACAACACTCACCACATCCTGAAGAATATGCCTGGTCAACATCACAAGGCTAAGGGGACTCTTGTAGGGGGAGTGGAGACATCACTCTGACTCTCACACAGCCTCTGGGGAGTCTCATGCTGTTTAACAGTGTCAAGCTTCACCTCAGAGAGACAGTTGTCTTGGATGCCTTGGCCTTCCCAGACATTTACAAAGTTCCGCTGCTCACTTCACAGAAACAGAGCAAAAGCACTTGTCACCAAAACTGAGCGAATGATGATAACAAAAACAATGATAGCGGCCGACACTGCTCACATTTTCAAAACAACATAATTGACGCACCTTATAGCCACAAAAAACACGGGAAATATCACTTCACAGTCACCATAACACAGTTTAATCTAAATGTTAGTGCTGTCCTCTCACTATATAAGGAAAAAAACACATGATAATTGCAATATACAGTATAATGCTGGCTGATAATCGTGGAGCCATGCGATTGACAAAGAACCAAACACGACTGTAGTGTGCGGGTTGGCAGTGTGGTGGCGCGTGGGTAGGCTTACAAATGAAGATAGAGATAGTAGTGCATAGGGTTAAATATTGTTTCCTTATAAAATGTCACTAACTTGACATAAAAATAATATAATTTGCATTACTGGAATCCTTGCAAGACAGTGATTAGTTTGAGAATATACAACCCATAGTTTGCACTGGAGATAAAACAAAATGTTTCCAACCAATGGTTATTGATGGCTATTTGATGGATATTGTTAAAGCGAGTTATTTTGATCGTATATAGTGAGTTTATGACCATCAGTAAAGATGGTCTTAATTTATGACCATCATTAAAGCAGAATGTCGTTGATGGGGATATTGTGTCTTGAAGTTTACCTGTACCTGTTTAAATCTTAAAAGGTGTGGTCGCTGCTCTCACCTATATGTATGTTATTGTGATGGTAAAATATGTAATTGCAGGCTATAAAACGAGGATTAGTATCAACACCTCCAAGCCACATGATTGGGGACGACACCACCAACTACCGGGTTAATGCCTGGATACGAAGTAAAAATAATGGCTTGTTTGTTAAGCCTAGACTTTTTACACCTTATGCTGAAGAAATTAAGGTAGGTGCACATAACAGTGATGTTGTTCACAGATTTATAACATTATATTATGAAGCAAGAAAATATTTTGCATTAAAAACATTCCACCTTACCTTACCTTACCTTACCTTACCTTACCTTACCTTACCTCACCTCACCTCACCTCACCTCACCTCAATTTACCCAACCTAATCTAACCTACTGTTGCCTGACGTCTGGTTTATTCATGATTTTTATATTGAAAAACATATAATATTTAAATATAATTTTATATTTGGTCATGGAGTTTGGAGTTTATTGCATGTGATATCTTGTTCATGAAGAGGTGGATGGTGTGGGTGAAGAAGTTAATAAAACAAGACAATAGGATAAAACCTGAGACTTGCAGCAGGTATAAGATTAAACTGATCTTTGACTCTGGGTAATGGATGGGTTAACTACAAGGAAGGTACAAAGCTATAGAATGATGTGTTTGACAAGTTTTACCCAACTTAGTCATCTGTTGTTGGAGAGAGATGGCAGATGGTCCCAGCCAGACTTCAAAATATTAGGTATAATAATATGGGCATCCACAAGATTTTTTGCCTTGGGAGGCAAGAAAGCAAGACAAGATATGACATATCAGTTCATTCAAAGCAGGTACTGTATATACATTCATATAAAAGTATGATCAAGTATAATCTAGTTACTTTCTTGTATTGTATGATCAGCAATATCACTTAGTATGCCCTTAGCAAACTTGTTTAACATTACATTAAAAACTAGTTTAGTACCCGAATCCTGGAGGATAGCAAATGTAATCATGATTTTCAAGAAGGAAGATAGATTACTATCCTCTAAGTACCGTCCAATCAGCTTAACATCAATTGTAGGCAAATTACTGGAAGCAATAATTTCAAACTCAATTCAAAATCACCTGGAGAAACAAAAATTTATCAATGATTGCCAACATGGCTTTACAAGTGTGTGTTCATGTCTGACAAATCTATTATCATTTTGTTCAACTGTGTTTGAATCAGTGGATGACAGACACGTTTAGGATGTGGTTTACCTCGACTTTAGCAAAGCCTTCAGCAGGGTCCCCCACAAAAGATTAATATGTAAAGCGGAGGCTCATGGAATTGGAAAGGATGTTCTAAACTGGATTAGGGTGTGGTTACAGTACAGGAAACAGAGTCCGCATTAATGGCACTAAATCCGATTGGGGTAGTGGAGTACTCCAAGGCTCAGTACTTGGACCATTACTATTTATTATACAGTATACATAAATGACATAGATACTGTATAGGCTTACACAGCAACATAAGTAAATTTACTAACGACACTAAAATAGGGCTTGTAATTAAATCTGGCGATGAAATTTAATGTGGACAAATGTAAAGTACAGTACAGTACTTTGCCTAGGAGATGTAAACAGAGAAACCAGATATCAGATGAACAACGTTGTTATAGAGAAATCCAACTGAGAGAAAGATTTAGGAGTAATCATAAGTAGGAATCTTAAACCAAGTCAACAATGTGTATTTGCTCAAAACAAGGCTAACAAAGTACTTGGGTTCGTACAAAGGAGTGTTAGTTACAAGACTAGCGAGGTCATCCTAAAACTATCTTGCACTTGTGAGACCTCACTTGGATTATGCAGTTCGGTTCTGGTCACTGTACTACAGAATGGATATAGAATCCTTAGAAAGCATACAGAGGAGGATGACAAGACTAATCACAGGCATTAGGAGCTTTGAGTATAGAAACAGATTAAAGCATTTGACTTTACACTCCCTCGAGAGACGTAGAGTGAGGGGCGATATGATTGAGGTGTATAAACGGAAGTCAGAATTAAACAAAGGTGATGTAACAAAGTTACTGTACTTAAACTATCCAACCAGGAACAAACTCATAGCAATGGTTTTAAATTAGTCAAATTTAGATTTAGGCTTGAGATAGGTAAACACTGGTTTTGAAATAGAGTAGAAGATGAGTGGAATTAGTTATCAATCATCATCATTAATTCGAACACGCTGGATAGCTTCAAATATAGGTTGGATGGATATTTGAGCGATAGGGGTTGGATGTAAATGGGACTGCCCAGTATGGACCAATAGGCCGGCTGCAGTTTCCTCCATTCTTATGTTCTTACTTATCAGTGTTATCACCAAATTATTAATCACTAAAATTATCATAGGATCGATCTTAAGATTAAAAACTAACAAAAATAATTAATTTGATATCATAAATCCTGGAAATATGGGGATAGCCAATGCTAGCCGTAATTTCAGTGGTTAAATAAATATTGCAGGCAGCACTTAGCAGCTCCAAAACGATCAATCACGTCTTCAATGAAGGCTTTCTATCTAACCTTTTTTGTCAATACACGCTGAACCTGCACAATCCAGACAAGCATTCAGTTGTCATTATTGATCGATGCTCTGTTTTGACGTGTCTCAGCTTGCTAAATTACTGCTCTACACTATATGTCCTTGGCAACAGCCAAGGACATATAGTGTCAAGCGGAGGCAGGAAATGTCAAGGAGATCAATATAGGGCTTCTCAAATAGCAGGAAACAAATGGCACATCTTTAGAAGATCCGTCAGGAACAAAGTTGCACCGGAATCAGGTGCGGTTTTCTTTTGAGAAGGTTGACGCTGTGTTCACATTTCAAACCAGGACTGTGACTCCTCAGCAAAATTAACACTGTTGTAGATGTCATTTTATTGTGCCATTTTTTCCTACATTCAGCAACCTCTGGATCTTCGGTCACATTACACCACAACTTGGTTTTGCAAGTGACATGCTTGGTTAACATGAACTCATGGTAGTAGATGTTTGAAGCACACTTATAACTTCCAACAATTTCCATGGCAGTAGATGTAAATAAAAAAAAGAAATCCTTAATGGTACTGAGCTCAACTTTCCACAGTATTTGCTTTGATCTTATTTTCATCTACGAATAATAATATTACTGAATATTATGTATAGTGTTTATAATTGTGTCATATTGTACTGTACCAGACAAATTGTGCTGTTACTCAAATAATATACAGTACTAGTTATCAAAAAGGAAAAAAAAAATTAGTTAAGGTACATTGCAATATGCAAAGTCTTTTTGAAATTTGTTTATTTATCTAACTGTAAAATAATGCATACCGGTAGTTAGTTTGGATGACAAGTGGTCGCAGATTCATCATGACCTAACACCAATGACATCGTAATTCTCTCACACAGAGGAATTGTCAAAAGTACCGTCTTACTACAAGTGTCCATTGTGGGAACGTTAAGTAACAAACAGTTCACTTATAAACTTGTAATGCCATACACATATTGTGAACAAGGATTGCGAAAAAAAAATGTTTCTCTTTCCCGAGGCTTACGATTGAAATACAGTACATATGGGAGAAATATATATTTTGTTGTCTAAATTAAAAACGGTGGTGGGCATAGTGATAAACAAATTATATAAACCATACATTTACCTACGATAACATAATAAGAAACATTGTATTATTACAAGAATGAATGAAATAATATTCCCACAAATAACAATGGACAACTCTGTTTATGTCTCCTGCCTTGGGCACCTGTGTCCCACGCGCTGACATCTTAGTTACACGGACCTAAGATGATCTTTGCTCTGTTTTATGAATGCTTCTTCGGGAGGCTTCTTAGCCCCCAAAACCCTAAAATTTTGTCCGGATCTTCCGAAATCTGGATTTACTGGGTCTGAATCTTCGAGGGTTTACTGTACAGTCACATATACTGTACTGTTCATTCAGTAATTGTGAAAGTACCTGGAAACACTTTGTGCACCTTAATTTTCATCTTTATACAAGATATCTTCAGATGCAACTGGATTTACAACAGTGGTAGAAGCAGTACTGTAGTAAAAAGCAAGTGACAGGTGAATGAGATTCAGTGGAAGGGATGAAGGGGTCTGAAAGCATAGGGCTGGCTTTGTGGCCACGCAACAGAGGATGGGCCGAGAGATTGTGTTTCCATTAGAAGACTGTCACCACCACGAATGCAGCCCAAACCCAAATAACTGCCAGGGGTCACACCCTGCCAGGTCTTGGTGGCCACACCATCACAGTAAAGATATGAAGAATGAAAAGTAGATTAGTAGTAAAGTTGTTTGGAGAAAGGTGAAGGTAAAGTCTTTGAGCCTTTACAGCAAAGATGGCCGGAGCGAGCTGGAGAGGAAGAGTTACGAGTCTTTGATCTTGAAAATATCAAAGTATTTGTAGCATTGAAGGATGAACGTATCATCATAGAGGTTTTTAGTGAAAGTGGGAGACAGGTTTTTAGCTTTTATGTCAAAATTATGAGTTATGTAGGTATTGAAGTTCACTGAGACAGCGATCAATCTCTACAAATATGTCTTCTGCAGTATGGCATTCAGGAAAATGCAAGCATTTATATTGTGGGTGCTGAGGTTTCTGCTATCTGAAAGTGGTGCAACAGTTTCATTTGTTTGTATTATTTTTTTTTATATACTGTAAATACCATAAATTTTCAGGTATTTATACAAGGTAACTCATGCAAAACACTGTGAAATCCGCGTGGCTTCTTTTGTTTATGTCATCAGTTGTTAGGTCCGTGACATCTGAGAATGTTTTAGTATACAGTATATGAAATACATTTCAAGACCTCTTGTTTTATAAAATTCCGTACATCCTGCACCATATGCACGACCTCATCTCGTATTGTTTTTCTGTCATATAATATATCATTTACGTGCACATTTATATGAGTGGCTCCAATTCGAATTACAGGTATCTCTGCAGCAAAGTTATGAAATCCATCGCTATCAACAGAATTGAATGATGATACAGTTTAAATGACGAATCTTTCTTCTGCATGTTTTATCTGTATTTTATCTGATTCTGGAATTCTAAATCCAGGCATTAATTTCATAAACTGAGACACACTCATCTGCCTCATTGTGGAGTTGCTTGCTAGGCAGGTTTTTGGAGGATCACTTATATTTTTAGTGCCTATATTTTTCCATCAGTACATTTCTTTTTTATACTGTAAACAAGCTTGGCAGTTTTTACATTTTGCTTATTCTTTTTAGAATAAATATTGTAATCATTGGTTACAAGGTTGAATTACTCCCAGCAGGAAGTCTGCCCCTTTGGGCTTTCAACTAAATGGTAAAAATTTGCTTCTATCTTGGTTTTAATATCCATGTTTTCCATACTCACATACAGTACATTACAGTAGTTGGCTGTTGTCAGTAGCACAGTCGGTCACCTTTAGGTGACCTTTACATACACATACACTGGAAAGTAGCTACACCCATATGTCAAAATGGTCCTCCTATCACTTATAGTCTGACTCAGATGACTCCACGGCAACTCCTCTCCCAATAGAATTGCCAAATTAGTGATAAAACTGGCAATTTTTGTAATCTTAATAGCCATAGCATTTATCATCAAATTTTAAATTAAAATGAGGATAATTAACAAAGTTAATAGTTTTAGAGTAATATATATATATATATAGTTTTTTTTTCCTCTCCAATAACATTGTATCCCATGGTTAAGGTAACTAATGAGAATACTGTATATAGGTTTGCTGGTCTCAAGAAGTAACAGTGTGCTTATATACTTTACAAAAGTTCTGTATTGCTGGTATTCCAGTGCTATGAATATTGTAGTAAAATGGAGGTATGGCATAACAAAAAAGTTTCATGACAGTAAATATTCACCTGTAACCCATCACATAGGCTGTTCATACACAAAATATTAACCACTTTTTATACAGTCCAACAAGAAATTTTGTACCCATGAAATCCTAGGCTTGACCCACCTTGACCAGCCCCCGGGTCAGGTAGGTCAGCCATAAGACCCGTGACCCATCTTGACCCGGCTAGAATTCACTCCCAAGTGACCCACCAACCCATGACCCGCTGACCCATTTCCAACTCCGAGTGGAGGACAGTAAAGCTATTATTCGAGAGTTTACGTGTTGTTTCTGGGGAGTGGAATTTGTTGGCGTCCTGGTCGGTGGGCAGGATAATCCGGATTATGTTTTCACGAATCAATGCTTTTATTTGTATGAGTGTCAGTTTGAAGATCAGGGATGCCAGGTCGTTCACTTTTTGGTGGTTGTGATCCACCTTGAGCCTAACGGAGGGCATGGTTGCAGAAGGGGTAATCCTTCTGTGGGAGATTTATGTAGATCTTTCCCTAACAGGGCCCCTAATTTTCCTGCGACCCTCAACTGGGGGTGCTTCTGCACTCTCACAGAGTTCCCCGGTGACTCGACGGGCTGCTGCTGACCCTTTGACAATCACACGATTATGCTCAGAGCGAGTCGTGGTGTCAGAGGGCGCTTCCAGACGAATACTCCCCTGCGCATCAATTGGCCGAGGAGTAGGTCCTTTCACGACAGCGGAAAAGAAGAAAATGAGTAACAGGAAAAGGTCTGATTACTGTATTCACGAATAGTCGCTTGTCACACTTGGTCCCTCAGCAGTAATCGGGGTTCCTAAGGGAGGTCCGATACAGCGGGAGAGATCCTATATGCCAATTGATCCAAATGATATGTCAGTAGTCTATATCCCTCTAGCTGGATTAAGTCTAGGTTTGTGTTTGCGAAGCAGGTCAAGCAGGGAGCGAGACGTTTGGAGAAGCCTCGTCCGAGAAGAAGATGCTGCTGCTGTCCGTGGAGGTCTTGCTGCTTCTGCTTGTCCGGAGTGAGTTGCTTGCGTGATGCGAACAGGTCACATACTGGGAAAAGCTTATATACAATGGGTGACCTGACATTGCATCAGGTCAGGTCACTAACATTAGACCCACTAATCCTCCACCCCACCTCCACTGCAAATGAGAAAAGAGCTTATATACAGTACAATGGATGACCTGACAGTGCATCAGGTCAGGTCAGTAACATGAGACCCACTAATCCCCTACCCCATCTCCATTGCAAATACTTTCCAAAGCACTTTTAACCTTAGGCCACTGACATATAAATTTATGTAAAATAATATCAGTTTTATACTGACCATCACTAAGGTTTATAGAATTTTTTTCTGTAATTAAACTTGATTCAACCAGAATTTTTCTGTGACACATGATGATTTATACACATTTATACTGTACTGTTGTTCCAATCCGTGACATGATTATTATCCATAATATGTTCAGTACTGTACATAGCACAGTGGACGGTGTATGCTAGTGTGTAGAGATTGCATGTGTGGTATACAGTGCGTGTACAATCCCTCTTTTATGGAGGGAGAGGAGAGTGACAGTTTGCAACACCTGCTACAGGAGTTGGTACAAGACAAAGGCAGGCCATCCTATATCATCATATCACCATTTGGCCTGCCTGCATCACAAGCTCAAAATGACAGCATCTGCTGGCGAGTACTGTACAGTACAGTAGTATAGGTATATTTTGTACATTTACAATATATTGTACATGTTCAGTGGTGTTGGCATAAACAATACAGCTTTGTGTCTCTCTGTGCAAGATGCATAGTTTAGACTGTCAGAAAACTTTCCCCAGTACAGGGTGGAAAAATCCAGAGGCTGGGGTGGGGGGGGATTTCATACGCTATATGAACGGTTTTTTTTTTAGCCACTTAGGGTTTTATCATTATGAATAAAAGTTGATTTTTTCAAAGTCTCTCACATGTTGTACTTGGGCTGTTGTTGCTGGCAGCTCTCATACACTTGGCAGCCGTGTGTACTGTCAAGGCTGTGACACACACCTTGCTCCCCAAAAATACCTTCATTTCACGGCCCGTATCAAATAGATTTTTTGTTTTTTTTATATACAATACAGTACTGTATATTTATTTAAACAAACTTTTTGATGGACTATTCAGGATTATTTTCGTAAAAAATGGTGTTTTTAACTTCTTTAGAAATAATTTTGTAGAGTCTAGTACGGAATATCAACATTTCTAAAGTTCTTTCATAAAGGGATGAGTCCTCATCATTATATGGTGTTAGAATATTTTGTTAAGGATCTTTTATTGAAACAGTTTTATAGAGAATTTATTCAGGATCATTATGGTACCAAATGGATTTCTTGAACAAAATTAGAATAGATGCTGTGGTTAAAAGTTTATACAATAATATCTCCGTTAGCCGGAATCACTCAAACCCGAACTCTCCGATGGCCGGAATTGAAATTTTTTGGAAAATCATTCCCAAAGCCGTAATTTTCCGGAAAATTACGGCTTTGGGAGTGATTTTCCAAGGGGCACATTTTCGTAAAAATCCGAGAAAATTTTCCCGATACCCGGAAAATTCTGGGAATGGTGGATTTTTTTCCGGATTTGAGAGATGAAAATCAGGCGCATTTTCTGGAAATTCCCCCAAAAATTCCTGTTACCCGGAAAATTCCGGGGATGAGGGATTTTTTTCTGGCTTTGAGAGAGTCGTCTCGTTACCCGGAAATCTCTCATTCCCAAAAGTGCTCTGCAACAAATGTTCCAGCTAACGGGGATATCACTGTACTATAGACTTTTTCGCTAGCCGTAAATATTTTTACTCATGACCGCAGCCTATATGTAATAGGAGTGTTTGTCTGTGGGAGATGCGTAGTTTAGACTCAAAAAACTTTTCCCAGTACCTGTACCCGGAAAAATTCCGCTGATGAGAAAATTCATCTCCATACCCAAAAATATTTCAATCCCTGAAGCTCTGCGCCAATTATTCCGGCTAACAAGGATATCACTGATTATGGTTTTTACTTATGGAATGGCATTTATATTGTATATGCATAGGTTTTTCACCCATAAATGCAGTTTCTTTGATTAAATTATTTTATTTTACAGTCTGTTGTGGACGAACAAACTGCAGGTGGGGTAGATGTGGTTCGGCTACAGTGCTACGTGTCGCATATTCCAGATGCTCTATATATGGTTGAGGACAACGCTCCTCATCCATCAACCTATGCCCCATCTACTACAGTGGATGTGGTGGCAGCTGCTATACCAGGTGACCATTGCTCTCTCTCCTTCTTTCCTACAAGCTTCTTCCTTTTTATTTTTAATGGATACTGTATTTTCTTTCGTTCACTCTTGGTGGGCATCATAACCGTAATCAGTGGTTTTTGCCAGACTTCTATATGTTGTTTCATTTGTTTTAAAGAAATATAAGCCAGAAGCTTTCCTCCCAGAACTGTTTTACCGTAGATACTTGTACTGTATGTCCCACAAGACAGGGCATATGAATTTACCCTTTTCCACTTGTCTGTACATTCCCTTAAATTTGTTAACTTAACTGGTCCTACTGTTCCAAATAGAAGAACTTCAAACTGGGAAAACAGTCAATCCTATAAATGTGTCGGCCACATTATGAAGTAAAAATTCACAACTTTGTCCAAGGTATGACTTGCATTTTAGCAGAACTTCACAAAGAAATATGTCATCAGTAGAAAATTTACAGATTACAAAATTCAACTTAATGCCATAGGTCAAGGTCACAGAAGAGTCTAAAATTATTTAAAATGTGTTGCTTGTATCAGTGCCGTTATTTAATGTAAGTGAATTTTGCATTATCACTAGACAAAGTGTAGAACACCCAAATTTTTTCACATATTTGATGTTGGTGGTATTTTATGAAGCTGCACATGAGTATGTCAAGGAAATGACCTCATGCAAAAGATATATTTTGTCAGATCTTCACATTAACATTTACCATCACTAAACAATGTGCATAACATCAGATTTCAAAGAGTAAAGTTACTGCTGAAGTTCAAAGGTAAAACCTGGTACAGAGCATAAGTCTTATATCGTTTATTGATATTTTGATGAAATTTTAGATGAATATTGATAATCACACAAAGTGTAGGACACTAAACTCATGTTTCTTTGTCACAGTTGAAGGTCATGGCTGAAGGATTAGAAAATGCCAATTTTTGCAATTTCTTGTTATAAGAAAATATTAGCAAAGTATTCCGTATACTGTAGTCCTTTTTTACCTTTTATTAATCCTTCTTTTTAATCTTTGTGATGACAAATTAAAGCAGATATACCCATCCCCTGCCATTGGCTTTCAAACATACTGTGCCATCTGTTCTATATTTGCCAAAAGTGTTTTATTCTGTGATTTAGTTTTTGGGAAAAACAAATTTGGGGATAAGACCATCATGTACAGGTATGCATATTATCTGGGAATTGTATTTTAATAATTTTGAATACGGTTCGGCGGGGAGGGGGGCATCCATGTCATCAGACACACATCAAGTGCTTTTAATATTAGTATCTTTTTTGGCCACATGTCTAGTTGATCATGTTCTACAGTCAGTCACTTGAACACTTCTATACATATTATCCCAGCCTTTCATTTACGGTATCTATGCTTTATAATAAGTTTGTCACCGTACAGTATTTACAATAGTTTTTCCTATATTTTTTTAGTCCCCATTTTGTGTTAGAAGATCATTTCATCTGATTCTAAGAGATTCATAAGTGAATCTCTGCATGTGTTTTTCTTGTACTATGAAGCATGTGGATGTTTTGTATCATTTACATTGAATAGTACAGTAATTGTTCCCTACAAAGTTTGTGTTGGCAAGTTTACATTACCACATGTCATTGCCCTACAAACAAACTTTCCCTTGCACCACTCTACTTTATTTGTGTGATGGGGAGATTAATTCAGATGCAAACTATTGAAATGCACGTTATAGGCAGTGTGTTTGCTTAATATAGTATGTGACTGTAATATGCTTTTTGCTTCATGTATATAAAAGAAAGATTAATCCTATTACAATACCTTTACTGTATTTGTAAACACATATCATGTATTGTGTGTATGCTTGGTGTAGCGTGGTAGTATGTTTGACTTGATTGATATGCATGTGTTGTATAGTGTCCAACCATAGGTGCGGGAGTACGGTACTGCAGAACTCACACAGAAATAAAAGTGACTCGAGCATCGTCACTTGAGCGAGTCCCATTGTTTACTTTCCCTTTGATAATGTAATATAAAGATTTTAACTTAACAAAGTATAATTTCCAACGTTTTACTTTTCCTTTTTCTTATTACACCATTGCTCTCTACTCCCCCCTCTCATGGAAGTGTAAAAGGGACCAACATAAGAAATTGTTTACTGGAGGTAGATACTTCCATCTCATATTTTTAGGTTGCCAACTTCTACATTAAATCATTTTGAAAATTTAGGTAACCAAATGATGATACAGTAGACCCCATTTATATGTTAAGTTGCATTCCTAAGATGTGCAAACCAGAAAGTAATAGAAAAATAAGGTTTTGTTTTGAGCACAGTTGAGACCATCCAGTATGTCAGGCTGAAAATATATTGCGTGAGATTTATGAAGAGACAAGTTTGGGAAAATCGGAAATGTTTTGAAAATGTTGTGGATTTAATGAAAGAAAATTTGTAGGGAGAATGAAAGTTTTGGAAGGAGGAATATGTTTGAAGAAAGAAGCTGAGAATTGGGAAACAGGATAGAAGAAAATTAGTATTGTACTATGTATAAATTTAAGGCTTAATGAGGACTTGGACTTGTGGTGTAAAACAGTGGGTCAGAATATTTACTTTGTGCATCCATTTTACAGTACAGTACTGTATTGTGCATCACTGTGGATCAAAATATTTTATCCCAAATGGTCTAGTGTAAAACAGTAATAATAATGATCCAAATTCATTTGAAGAATTTTTTTTTTATGTGAGTCACTTGGTTAGAATCTTTTTTTTTTTTCTATTTATTAACAGTCAAGTGTTGAATATTTTCCATTGATTTACAGATTTTCTTACAATTGATTTAGAACAAGAGAAATGGAGGGAGTTGAAAATAGAAATATGAGAGAGAAGTATGGAGGAGAGAGTGTAGTACTGTACTGTACATACAAAAATGAAAGATGGAATATTTTTGTACACCTAAGGCTTTATTTGCAAATCCCACTTCACTATATATATAATTTAGTTTGTTTACCTCTATGGAATGAATGAAATTATATTATCTGTTCGTTGGTTCATTCATTACTGGTAGATGGTCGCCAAGTGAATGAGTAAAGTAGGGTAAGGAGTATTGTCTGCATGTACAATTGACTTAGAGAACCTCTGTTATGTTTTATGTTTTCAAGACCTTAGTTTCCTGTGTCTTGTTATATAATTAGTGTGTATCTAGTGGCTTAGTGTTATGATGTAATACTACACCTCTGGGTCACCCTATTCTCTCGTGTAATGGAAACGTCTTGTTCCAGCCCAGTTCATAGTGTCAAATATCACTGGTGAGTTGAGGGACACCCTGAATTAATGGTTCTTAACCCTTATATGAGAAAAATGAATTAAGTATTTGATGAAGAGATAAGTTGAAAGATTGAGGTTTTAAAAGATATGTTTTAGAACATGAAATTTAGTGATAGAGGGATGCAAAGAGAGGTGTGTGTGTTGGAAAAATAGGAAGGGGAAGATCCTGTGTGTGATATAAAGGAGTTAGAGGGATTGAGTAAAAAAAGTGTCGAGTTATGTCATGTTAGAGTGGAGAGAAGGAGACTAGGAGCTACTTTACTGGATAGTTATTGTTTCTTAGGAGATAAATGGTAGTAATTAGGAAGTACTTCTTAGGATTGGTTGGGAGTCCTGGGGCTAAGGTCTCACATTTCACCTAGTACGAACAACAAATTTATTTTGGTAGTTGGCAGCTACCAAACAGGGTGGTACTTCCGCCTGGGAAGATATTGGAAGCATAATGCGTTGTCTAATGGTAGACCCTGCTGCCATATGGCATCAAAAATTTTTTGACCAAGTCCCAGGTTGCTGATCTGACTTTCTGCCCCTGAATAATTAAATTTTCCTAAAAAAATTGTACGTATATAAAGGAAAAGTTTAATGATCTATATTGAGAGGTTTATGGTGAAATATTTATGATGAGAACAAATATGTAGGTAGGGATTAGTGTCAAAGATATAGATCATTAAAGCTGATAAGCAAAGTGAACCATGTGGGTTTTTACAACTGACCAGGAGGGTTATGGACTGAGATTCTGAGAGGAGTAGATGTTCAGGGTTCACTAACTCGAGGTTGATGCCAAGAGTACTTGTGGGACATAGACGGCCTCTGAACAACTTTCAACTTATTAAAAAGAGATGTTTCTCCAATCTTGTTATAGTGTGTGTTCTTTAGGTATGCACCATGGCTAGACCTTTCAAGAGAAACATTTGATAATTTGTATTTTTAAATTATTTTACTTTTTTGTAAATGTTTGAACCATTTTCCATATTTAAAACTGGGTGTTTCTCTCTAATCTTATTGTTTACATAATATGCTGTTTACACATAACCCAGAGGTGTATTAGAGTAAAAATTAAACAAGTATATTAGTTACAGTATAAATGAACTGGACTCGGAAAGAAATCCAGAATGTGTTGAAAGCGACAAGTAATGGTAGTTGTAGTTGGAGTGTTCTTGATGTGTATTAACTATGTCTCCCATATGAATTACCCTCTAGTACCTGACTCTGAGACAGTGCTGGCCATGGTGCGGCGAGAGAGAGAGTTGGTGTCCTCTCCTGGGTACCAGCGAGCCGCCTCCCTCCTATTCGGTGACCGTCGCATGCTGAGAAGACAAGTGAGGTTGCGTGTCGTCAGAGAATTCAACTTGCCAGACACTGTTGCCGACGTGTTGGAGGTGAGATTAAAATATTGTTTTATGATTCCTCCTGACATGGTGTGTCTGATATTTTGTTTGTCATTTGATCAATTCTTGAGTAATTTATGATTTTGCCTCAGAATAAACAGTAGTAATCAGATGCAGATCATATTCAGGGTGTTTTAAATGTTAATCTTAAAAAGGGTCTTTTTAGAAACAGTTGATTCTACATGTAAGGAAAAAAGTTGGGAATCATTGCTCCTAAAGTAGTACTGTCCTTCATCACTCTATAGGTATCAGCCCTTCATCATTCATCTCCAGTACAGTACAGTATTTAAAGCACAGATATGTATCAGATATTGTTGATATAGCGGATATTGATAATCACTAAATAAAAGTTAAATGAAAAGTACTGGTATATAGACGATCCTTTAAGTGTTATTAAACATTTTTGGTTGGTGAGCAGGGAGCGTCCTACACCGAAGAGGAAGAAGAAGAGGTTGAGCAGAGATGTTCAGTGAGGGATGAAGGAAGATCCAAACTCCACCCCCCAGAGTTCTTGCTCGACCCATTACTTGACCCTCCACCTCACCACTTCCGCCTGCTGCAGGTTGTTAAGTTGGATCTTGTGTATCTCTGTTGAGTTCTGTTTCTTAACTTTATTAATGCATGTCTGAAAAGTGCAAGTGGGTTCCATAGGCATGACTGCCCATTAAGAACAGTGTGGATACAGCACACTGTATACTGAACCTTTGGTACACAAGGAAGCAGCATGGTCGGTACTGCTCTCTACAGCATTCGCTTCCCCAGGTTGGGAACTTGGGTACCTATTTATGGCCGGGTGAACTGGGAGTGCTTACAGATCGAACCACCGATCACCTGTAACAGGAGGCGAGTGCTGTATCCACTGGATCACTGCACTCTGCATGTGTAATTTCATGTAAAAGCTAAGAAAAAATTCTCCTCCACAATTTCTGATGAAGCTGTAAAATTATTATTTAATTCACGATCCTTCCTTGCTTTTTCTTATCTTTTTTATTGGTCCTGTTAAGATAAGGTTGTTGACTTGTTTGTTGTCAGTGATTTGGTTAAACTTTGTTCACAATTTGTGATAAACTTAATTTTAATTTTCTATTTAAGATAACTGAGGCCAGTGGCAGTAAACTGTCCACTCACACTCATCAAATATTGTGGAAAAAGCAGTTTCTTAATATTGGCCGTTTCTGTTTCTGGATATTGTGTGTCCATCTTCTCCTACTCTTACCAGCCCCAGCTGGAATTTTTTTTTAGTTAATCCTTCACCAAAACAAATCCAGTCAAATAAGGAGCCCAAATCTCTCCATATGAATTCATATATGTATTAGTAGAAAAAGGGTTTTTTCTTCCTCTTGTGGAACTGTGGCTTCTCTTATAAATAAAGTTATTGTGTTGTGTAGTGGGACTCTTATGCAAGCTACTGTATGCTTAATAATAATTTCCCATGACAAAGGGTTTCACAAGACATTTTTCAGTGATAATTAGATTTTGTATCTTTCTCATACTGACTCAACTATCTGACCACCAAATAAGATCATACTATAATTTTTTTTATAATCTTCACCTTTTATTGAAAAATACTTTTAACAACATACCGTATGCATTATTTTTATCATAAAATTTAATAATGTAATGAAAGTGTTCCATTATGAAATACAGTTTGTTGTGTGTGATTAATTTAAAATAAAACACTTAATGTATTTGGAAGAAAGCTTGCAGTACCTGTACACGGATTTTATTGTAAAAACGGGTTCTAGAAAAAATTTCACTAGCGAGCCACAGCGGTTACCCGAGAGATAAAAAATAGTACCTAACGAGGAATGTCGGTTGTGAATGTCTTGGGTGTTTACTGGAGAACATGACCAGCTGAGCAAATACCAAGCTACTGTTTTGTGCTGAGGATAATTTGCACATGCTTTCTGTGGGTGGTTTAGGTGTGTTGGATGGAGGTTGGATAGATATATAGTATAGATATGGTAATTGTATTTTTTTTAGGACATGTTAGGTTAAATAGGTAGTGTATTCATAATGCTTATATACTGTACTTGACAATTTTTTAACTTATGGTTAGGCATGAGTGTTATGAGTACTTAAAAAGTTAATATTTTCCTGTTATCATCACTCTTTAACAACTTGGTATTTCTTACTTGTATGATAATTTGGAGGTGGTAATACTGAATGTTTACTTTCTGAGAGTTACCTTCATTTTATTATTAAAATGTAACCATCATAAAATATTTGCAGGGAGATGAGGGCCACTTAAGTGATGTGATGCCAGATGTGGCCCTGGCCTCATCCTCGCTGTCAGCGCTACACCTGGGGTCTAACACCCTAGATGACCGAGCAATGGGCAGCCTGGAAGGGCTTGAGGACCTGGAAGGGACACAGATGTCACTTGATCTCGGCGACGGCTCACACCATCAAGTAAATGTTCTCTTGTTTATTAAATTTTTGTAACTAATACTGTTATGGTCACTCAAATGCTAACAATAATTTTTATTTTTTTAAGTTGTCTGTTGACATTGATTTTGAACTTCTGTTAGTGACAGCTGGGAGGAAATGTCAATTGTGGATACAGATTCCATGAATGGTGTGCAATTGAAGGGTGAGAGCAACAATGTGCTGCTGCTGAGTTGATTCTCAGAATTTCTTTGTGTTGTAAGTACAGTTGGCCACTTGATTTCAGTTTGGAAAAGTACTGTGGTTATGTAACTGGAAGAGAGTCTATTACGTCTATGATGATTTTGTAAAGGGAATATCAATTAAGTTTGGCAAATAAAATTTCAATTGACTGGAAAGAAAAGGGAAACAAGAGAAGTTATATAAGACTGAGTATGAGTGGCAAGAATGATAAATATAAAAACAATGAAAAAACTTTCCTAATTAATGTTTCTGTAGCCAGACAATGATGTTAAGAGTATCCTAAGTTGGCTTGATATTTGTCATTATATGTGACAAATAGGTGGCAAGACAGTTTATCCTTAAGGAGAGGAAGAATACAGGAACAATATGGACAGGCTCACTGCTGCTACTCAGCTCAAACCTTGCTCCAAAAGTTTAGCTTGGGCAAGACATTTATATGAATACTGTACAGTACATTTTCTCGATAGTTTGTGGCAACTGGTGTCTCCATAGTCATCACCAGCACTCAAGCTAGATGATGGCTTTTGTCAAAAGATGTTGGATTGAAACTAAAAAAATACATTTGGTAAGTTTTTTTTTGTGAAGGCAATATTAAAACAATTATCAGTTGCAGTCACAAATGTCTTTTTAATGTTTTGCATTTTAAAATAGTTGGCTCTTCCTTGTGAGCATCTTGTTGATGCATTAATTTTGATAGGTTGGATCGCACCTCAGTCTGGGTGGGTCCCATCGACGACGCTCAAGTAGACGACGTCGACTACCGCCTCATCTTACGCCACCACCTCCGATGTCTGGTCATCATATTTACGGAGGTCCTCCCCCTCGCTCTCCTCACACTCCGCCTTTACGACCACACTCCACAACTGCCACTGCCCCCCGCCATCACGCCACCACAATGCCGCCACTGTTCCTCTGACATCACCACTTCCACTCCTTACATTACCGCAGTCATAGCCACCGTCACTACCACCAGGCGCGACACTCGCCACCCACCAGGCCGCGCACACCCATGTTTTGAAGGCCGCTAAACTTTATTGCCGCTTTTTATATTTGATACGCCTATTACAACATGTTGCGAATGGCAAGGTCTGGACAACTCCTTGTTAGCGTTTAAGAAATCATCAATCCAAAATAAAGCAAGAGAATGCTTACAAAATTAATGCCATTGATCAAACCCATTTTAAACCTCTATTAAGGTTTAAAACCGTCTATCACTGCCTACTCATTTCAGGTGTACATGACCACGTTTAGATGGTGAATTGGCATATTTAGGTGTGACGTAGTGGGCATTCCGTTTTACGAATGACTGTGGACGTAAGTAGTGGAAGTTTATCTATCATGTGCTGCATTTTTGCCAGTCATTAAACATCTCATCATCCGCTTATCAGTGAGTAAAATACTCTAATCAGAAATTTATATTTGGTTAGCTAATAGACTAGCTCATAGCTTGTCTGTTTGACCTTTTATGAGAGAAGAAGAACATTTCATCAAGTCCAAAGTCACCAGGTGTTGGTCTCTACAGCAACATTTATCTCCGTATGTGTTTGTATAGTGATGCCTTCTTAATAAAACTGAATAACAAAGACCTATCATGCTAATGAGAAAACTTATAATATTCACAAATGAAAGTTAAAAACACCTTTTTTTTATTTTAGTTTGATAAAAATACTTATAAAAAATTAATCTGAGCAACTGAACATTATGACTTCTATCAATAATATGATGACGGCCTTGTTTATTTTGATATTTTTTTATTAAACAGACATCACTATATATAACAAAAATCCCCTTATTTACTAACTTTTCATGACAACTTCATTATGGCAGACCCCATCAAGTACAGTACTGTACTGTATATATGTTTGTGTCAGTATATCTTCAGGATTGTATTGTTATTATTATTTGTAATTAAGTGTAAACCATGGTTACATGGAGACCAAGACTTGTTTGTCAATTAATGGGTAGAGTTTTATATGTGTATATAAATACATCTTCTGAAAGGTTCATTCCCCACTCCTATGAATAAGTTATTACGGAAAGAGTTTATATTGGTCATTCAATATATACTGACACCTATTTGCTTAGCCAAGAAAATTTGAATTTTTTGGGAAGGATGATAAAAACTAAAAAGATTTAGTGTATCTTATGTTGATGGGATTCATTATTAAAGTGAAACTAAGTGCAGTACTGTACGGTACATAACTAAGGCTTATCTCTCATATCTGTTGATCACGTTGCTTCAACACCCCTGTAACTTTTAATGATTCGAGGTCGGTCGATGGTATCCAGTAACTGCCCGTTTTATGAATTGTCAGTATTTTGTAAAAAAATAGTATGATAATTGAGAAAAATAACAACTTGCTTAAGATGTAAATTTTGATCTTAAGCCTAGATTCTTACCTCCTTGATCATTCAGAGTGTTTGTATTGGAAATATAAACCACCAGATTTGGGTGTGTCTGTTGACACAAGAATTTAATATAAGTTTAAGATGAAATTCCATTGGTGAATCTCTATTTTCAACTGATTCTGATTGAATGTCAGCACCTAAATGTGTATATCCGTGGCTAGCTGGCCTGTGCATTAGTCATCAGTAGTATTTTTTTAGCCTTATTTTGTCACAGTATTAACTGATTCCAGTACGTCTTCTGAGGAGGTAAGTGAAAATGAGATTCAGTTGGCCTGTCAAATTAAGCTCTTCCCACTATGTTTTACCCTGAAGAAAGAAAATATATATACTGTATTAAACACTGAATAGAAAAAGATGCTGGTGGAATTGCTGATGTGAAGGCAACACACTTAACAACTGGGCAACTTTCATGAATTATAATGGTTGCTCAGGATGCCAAAAAGTGGGCTAAGCTTAGTTGATAAATTAATTAATGTGTACCCAAGGCTAAGGGTTTAGCTGGTCTCGTGATATAGCATTTTTTATATATATAACTTGTATGTTGTGAGATGAAATTACACGAGATGCTGGTATCTCCCTCACGTATGATACTGAAGGATCAAACTATTTATTTCATAATATCTGTGCATAGTGTAATGATAGGGCTTCTTATTACATATCATAAAGAGTTTCCTTTCTTCTCCTTCCATGTATGTTGTGTCTGATGCATTAGCAGTTTAGTGCCATTTGTCTGCTATCCCAAAGTCTGTGATACTTTCAGTCTACTAAGAACTATAACTCACAATCTCATACAGTTAATACTGTTATTTTCGCTTATTAAACTTTGAAAGCAATGCCTCTAGAATTAGCCAAAGCTCATTACTACTTGTTATTGAAATGTGAACTGAGTCACATAAGCAGGAAAGTGTTGGAGGCCAATAATAACAATAGTCATCTGTTAAAGACGAGTATTTCTGTATGTTGCTGTTTATTCCAGATAAATAGATTGTACTTAGTATCATATCATCATTGAGAGACCAGGATGTCTTAATTCTGAACTACCTATCTAGGTCCAGGAGCTTTGGTTAAAACCTATTGCTGATGCTTATGGCCAGCAGTGCCCCATGTACTACAAAAGTAGAGAATGTGAGATTTGAGAAGAGAGATTTTGACTGCATGTAGACTATAACTTTCTTCACGGAAAACTTGATGAAAAGTTCTTATCACAGAGGAAGAGGCACAATGACTACCCATTTTAGCATTTCATCATAATATTAGCAAGTGTTGAGTGCATTAGCTGAGATCATTACCAAAGAATTAATTGCCTATCTTATATCCTCTCCATAATCATTGTCATTAGTTGTCAACACTTCATTACCTGCTCACACTCAGAAGCGAAGGTTGTACGTAACTTACCCCCGTATGATTTTAAGGCGTATGAGCAAGCCAGTGACAAAAGTTTCCTCTCATTAGAACAAGTAGCTACATTTCTGTCATCTTAGGTGGCTAGTGTCTTTTTTATCATCATTGTTAGTGATGTGTTTTATAAGTAGCACAAGCAGACTAGGGGGCAGGACTCGAGCAGTTTTCATCTTTCTCTTTTTTTATTGGGTTTTACGCTTATAAAATATTGCCCAGAATTGAGTCCAATTATCTCCTTGTAAAAGATGTTGGGATTTGCCCAACTGTTAAATGGTAATAATCAAGTAGATTGTTTTTGAAAAGGTGAATGTACTGATACTTTCCAGCTTTTTCATCAAATGGAGTTTTTTCAACCACCAGTGAGGTGTTCATGAACTGTGGGATGAGCCATGTGATTTGCTTGATCGTTTGAGGGTGTAACTGCTGCTGAAGTATGGAGTTGTTGACATGTGTACTCTACAAACAAATTTTCTCCTTTGTCAACGCCAAAGACTCCTGCCCCAGTGGGAGGTTAAGAGTACAACAACTTATATTCGTACTCCCGGCCCCTTAATGGGCGTCCAAGTGCCTACAGTGCGGACCAAACGCAACACTGGCGGCAGGTGAGGTTGTCAGCCAAGGTCGCGTCCAGTCGAGAGTAGTTGTCTGTGGGAATAACTTGGACATTGTGTCCCTGTTATTAAGTGTATTTTGAGTGGGAGAAATTTTATACTGGATGTGGAGTACCAACAGACATACAATTACAAAAAAAAAAAAAAAAACTAGGTATTCTAAAAAGTAAAAGTAGGTACTGTATATTGATATGGTGACAGCACCAACACAGACACACACACACATAAAAATTTGTATATCCTAAAATACAGCATTGAGGTTACATTGATTAATGTAGTAACACAATTAGTATATAATCCAATTACCTCTTGAGATTTAAACTTTTTGTTACTAGTACTGTATTTGGAAATGGTTTGAATCTTGTTAGTTCTCATACGATATACATTTGAGTATAAATTAATGTCTAAAAAGAAAACTGTTGATGCTAGTACCCTGTATTAATATTTGAGTATTGATTTGAAATGTGGAAATTTTTAACTAATGTGAAATGAGCATATACTGTATATATATTATGATGAGAAAGGACTTGTTTATGTGCTGCTCTAGTCATTGATTGCAACCATTTTTAGACTATATACAAGTACATGGTGTGTGCCAAATTGCATGGAAATTATAAATCTACAGTTTCATCATATCAAATGGGAATTTAAATATATTTTCCCTGTGAATGTGTTCTGGGTTTGAATATTAACTGAAATTGTAGAAGATATTATTATGCTGCAGTTATTGGTAAAGGGATTTATTAAAACACGAGGACATCATACTGCTGCGTGTGATGGAATTATAAAATAAATTAATGGTAATCTGCACAAATTATTTTCAGAATTAAGAGAGAAACGGTGTTGTGTAAAATAACATTGTTTTAAAGTGAAAATGTAAATGAAACATTGCTGGAAGGAATAGGTGACTGTTTAAAGACTAGTTGAAAGACATTTTGCCATTGTAGCTTCTATTCTGAGATTGAAGCTGGTGTTCAAAATAGGGCTGTCAAGTATTTCCCTGCTGATAGCTTAAGTTTCAATCGGTGCATATCTTGGGGGAAAGAAATTACATCTGTTTCATTACCAGTACCATCAAAATGTTTGCTATGCATTACTATAATCTGAAGTTACTCAGGTTTTAGGGCACTGCTCACAAGACCAGTGTGGTGGTTGATTGAATGACTTGTGTCACACGTATCTAACAAATTACTCCCATACATATTTCTTTAAAAATTAAGAATTATGTGTTTTGGCATTGCAATACACATTGATATATACTCAAAATAAGTGTTATTCAGGTTGTATTTCTTAATATGAGTACATATTAAATCAATTGGTTTATGGTCCTCATAAAAACTTCCTGATTTACATAGTAAGTCGAGCATAATTTGCAGAGTTAGTTGCATTATCACTCCTTCCTTGTCCGCATGATGTAGGAACTTTCATACTTACTCAAAGCAAGTGTGGTGGATCATGTAGACATTTCTAGATTGTTTTCATTGTGAATTATCTTAATAGGTGTAGGAGGAGTAAAATATTCAGACTTTTTTATAATTTTGCCCATCAGCTGAGACAGACAACTTGCTTCCACCTACTAAAATATGGAAGAAAAGATCGTGCTGGCTTCCTGTACTGTTTCCTCCGCCTCTGTTTTGGTCTTAACACTGGTTGAGTATCACCTCACTCAGATAATTTTTTTCCAGGATTGACACTTTCAACCTCTCATCATGTTCATTCTATCCTGTAATTTCTTAGTCACTCCTTAACATTCCTCCTTTGTTACTTACCCATGAACACTCCCAAAGGGTGATGCCAAATTAGTGTATCCTCATTATTGCTCTATCAACAGTTACTTAATCCAGCTACTGTACACCTTCCAACCTTTATTTTTAGCATTATGTACTGGCAGCTCTATGGATGTAGTTCTAATGTGTGTACTATATGTAACACACACACACACCCAGTTTCAGTCATATTTTTTCCATTCCTGTTTTTCTTATTTGGATCAGTTTCTTTAGAACTATTTGTTTTAGCTAAATGTAGAGAACAACTCATCTTGCTCTCATATGCCACACCATGAATGAGGTTCTCTCATTTTTAAAGTTATTTAAAACTATACACTAACTTTTATGGAGATGAGCAGATTACTGTAAGGTCAGCCTTAGAAATTTCAATTGGTGCTTGAGTAGTTCAGGCTTCTATTTTTCCATATTGTTTTCCCAGTTATGATGTTTTTAGGTGTTATTTGGTCTTGAACCACTTCATGGTAGACAGCAAGGGAATGCAAAAAGTGTTCAGTGTTCTCTGCATAGTAATTCACAACATCATCTTCATCTGTGTCTGTCTGTGTCAAGAGTCATCTTATATCCCCTGGATTCTTTCTTTGTCTTAATTTATTTGCATAAATCTTCAGCACAAGAAACCTTGCTAAAGTAATTACTGGTTTATGTAGTCTCATAAATATTTTATTGTTCATGAATGTTTAGTATTTATGCAGACTATATCTTTAACCAGTTTGGTTATGACATAAACTGCCAGATGAATATTATGTTCACTGGTAACTTTATACATTCTTTTATTTAAACATTCCTCTCTTATACAAACTGCCTTTTACTGCTTCTTTATCACTCAATCTTTCTTTAAATTTAAGAAAATACAGTACAGTTTTACCCCGCTTAACGCGCTTTCACTTAACGCGTTTTCGCATATACGCGGTGCCTTGCCAAAGCTGAACTTTCACTTAACGCGGCATTTTTCATCATATACGCGGTGAGTGTCCGGCTCGGATGCTATTTTTAGATTTGACCACGCGCCGCCCGCCCGCCCGCCCTCCTGCCTGCCTGCCTGCCTCTCCTTCCTCCTCCCTCCGCTTGGGCAAGCGGCGCGGTAAGGTTGCGCAGTGTGTGTCTTTGTTGCGTTATCACTGACGTCATATGACGTCTCGGACTGTGATTGGCCATGCAGCCCTACCCCCCTCTGCTGCTAGCTGTAATTGGCTTAAAGTATTATGACGTGACTACCCCGGGGAGGGAGGGAGGGAGCATAACAGATTTCTTCGCCCGCAACCCACCACAGCCAGTCCAAGCCAGTGATAGTGAGAGTGAAGTTGATTTTGAGGGATTTGTCAGGGAAGCCCTGACAACTGTAAGTGACAGTGATATTGATTCACCTAGTAATGGTGATTCACCTAGTAATGGTGATTCACCTGAGGGGCAGTAATCTGCCCTCTGCCTCGGAACCAGCCTCCATCCCCGTATGCCGACCCATCTCTTCTACTACCGTGAGTGTTCCTCAAAAATTTTCGTTTTTTAACCTATTCTTTATTTTTCCTATGTTAACCTTTATCTTTCCTAACCTAACCTCTTCTATATTACTTGTTTTTCATGCCACCATAAAGTTAAGATAGAATTTTTACTACAACATAGTTATTTGTCGTCAAAAAGTGGAGTTTGGGGGTCGGGCTGGGTTCTATTGGAATTAATCCCATATGTTCTGTTATTCACTTAACGCGGTTTTCACTTAACGCGGGACCCTCTGGGTTCAATTGACCGCGTTAAGTGGGGTACAACTGTACAGTATTTCAGCAGCTTACTATGTACATTCTCTGGTCCAAATATTATTTTGTTGATAAATTGTCTAAACATTTGTGTCAGTAGTGATGGCCCTTAAAAATTAGTTTTGTAAAAGTCAGCAAGTGTTTATGGACCCAGAACTATTGCAGAATGTATGGAGCTGTTGATAAAACATGATGATGATGATCATCTCCATGCATATATTTTATTACTCAATCGCTATTGAAAACTTGTTGGTCATAGACAGTGGTGTTGAAACCAAATTTCTGGTTAATTTCATGGCAGCTAAACTGATCCCTTGAAAAGCAGAGCAGCAGTTGAGGTTGATTGGCTCGTCTTTATGCCTTATTGCTCTTTGTAACACCGTGGATATATATGGATTTTTTCTGAATGTATAAGATGTTTTTATGTGAGTGATGACGCATTTTGTAAGAGCCAAAAGTGTGTGAAGTGGACATATTGTAGTTTTTTTTAATGCATTTAAGTCTTTGTGTGAGTGATGCATGTTATTAAAGCCAAAAGTGTGCAAATTTGACAGGTAGCACAATTGATAGCAGTGACTGGTTACTGTACATACATGGACTGGTAGTGCTCTGTAAATAGTAGTCTTTTGTACCATTGCTTTCCACATAGGTTTTGACTATTGTGAATGCTGTACGTGCAATGAAAGTGGACGGCCGATGAGGCTCGCTCGCTTTCTTCATTTCTGTGTACATTTTTCTCTTTTTTCAGTTGTTTAATTTTGTGCCAATGTTGTTGTCCGATCACAGTATTTATATCTATAAATTGTAAATGTTTATATTGCTGGAAATTATATTTTCCTTTTTTGTATGATTATTGTATGTTGTCCATTACCAAATGTTTTATTTTTAAACATGTATATGAAGACCCAAGGTATGCTTAATGACTCAAATATATGCTTATTCAAGATGGGCACATTCTTTTAATGTTCTCCAACATACACCAGTGCTGATACCTCAGGGTTTTTTTTGATAAACATGATTTTTTGGCCATGCAGGACAGGATACTTGTAATGGTTATTATGTCCGAGCTTTATAATAAAATAGTTGTGAGGTAGGCTGAAGGTTAGATATAAGGACAGACTGAAGTAATGAATATCTACACTGATAAAGGCTATGGTAATATTTGTTTCCAATTTGCTAATGTATTGTGAAAAGTAAGTAAGTAAAAACAATGGGGAACACCTTGCATCCCTCTTATTGAACCTTCAGTAGGTATAGAAGAATATGGTGGTGAAGTAATTTGTTAATGTTAGCCAGGAGTCTTGTATGTATTTTTCACAGATGAAGTATTTTGGGGTAATTGAGGGACAATGCTGGTGTATGTGGATCTCTTGAGCACAAGGGGAAAATATCATTGTTTATTCAAATACATCATAATTTTTAAAACTTTTATAAAAGCATTTTTATATTGATTATAGTAGTTTAGAATAGTGACCAGATCTGATTGTTCTTCATAAAATATAGTACAGTACATGAATATGAACAAGGAGACTCCTACAAATCACTTGGTGCAGTTAAACAGGAATGTTCCTGTGTCCTATGCAGTTACTTTGTAATGAGTGAAATTTCATAGAATTCATGATGTTTTGATTTAATTTGTTCATCTGTTTTGGTAAGACTGTTCTCTGGACAAAACACTTTATCCTTGCTTTCATTAATCAGTTACAGTAAAAGTGAACTCTGTTAAAAACACTTCCTACTGTATGGTCATTCATTACCTGTTAGTTCAGTATTATCTGAAAGAGCCCCAAAAAAAAATGGGATTTGTGTCTTTGGAGTCATGTGTAGGTTTTACATCAAATTGATTTTGTAAAGGATTTACTTAAATTGTTGCACTAGCATCATAGTGGGGGAGAATAGTCTTCAGTACTAAATCTAGGGTCATAAATTTTATTGCTTATGACATAGTTTCATTTATTATTTATAGAAAACCTGATTTCATTTAAATTTTACTTTTTCATCATTTGAATAATTAAAAAAAAGACATTGTCAGTGTTTAAGATGTGAAGCTGAAGTCTATGTTACAGTACAGTGGTCCCTCGGTTAACGAACTCAATTCGTTCCAGAGGGTCATTCGTTAACCAAAAATTTCATTAACGGAAACCATTGTTTCAATGAGATATTGGGTAATTGGTTCCAGCTCACAGAAAAGTATATACAAAGTAAAGCCAAAAATGCATAAAGTTAGAAACACTCCTAAAATTCGCCTAAATCGCCCTTAAATCAATATATGTATGTATATATATGTATGTATATATATAAATATATATATATATATATATATATATATATATATATATATATATATATATTCTTTTATGCAAAATATATGACGTTTATATTCAAATTATTCGCTGTCTTGCAAGTATTCCAGCAATGCAAATTATATTCTCCCAACTCTAGTCTGTGATTTTATATAAGATACAAACTTAAAGCCTATTGTATAACCGGAAACCTTCGCTGGGAGGAGGTGGGGGGTTGGGAGGGAGAGGTGACAGTGACATGTTTGACAGTGCCGAGGCCTGGTGAAGTATTAATTTGTTTATTTATGTCCTTTAGATTGAGTATTTGTTTTTTGCTTATACAATTTCATAGAAGTGACCGGGGAGAATATAATTTACATTGATGGAATTCTTATAAGATAGTGATTAATTTGAATGTAAACATGCCATAGTTTGCACTAGACAAAAATTTAAGTAATCATTTTGTACATTATTCTGATTACATGTACAGTTCAGCTTTGTCCTTAGGACAGTGTGTGCATGTACAATAAATGAGTTTCAATAAATGAATAAAGTTACATGTATGAGCCAAAAATAATAGTTGAAAAACTTTATGTAGACAGCTGGAATGGCTAAATTTTAGAATGACCAATAATTTTAATACTGTATAAAAAATGCACAAATATTAAAGAGCACAATTTTCTTTATATTTACTCCATTGGAAACGAATGTAAACATAGTAGAGATTACTGAATTGGCTGAGTACCTCCTCAGCTTATCAGCTGATGTTCAAAACAAAACGTGATTTTCGTAAGGAATTCGTTAATCCAATTTTTTTTCGTTTACCGAATTGAAGATTCTTATGGAAGGTAATTCGTTAACCTAAATTTTGTTAACCGAGGGACCACAGTACTGATATTGATCTCACCACCACTAAGATGTGATCAGCTAACCAACAGTATATTGTGATGAACAATGCAGAGAATTTTTTAGCATGGACAAGCTTTAAACTTCTGTATGTTGATGCCTTGTGAATTGTGGGAGTATTTGCATGTTCATAGCAATTTTCCTCTTAGTGGCACAAAGGGAGTTTTTAATCTCATTATTATATCGTATGATCATTGTTGAAAGGTACCGAGACAAATGAAAGGCATTCATTATATTGTGTAATCATTGTTGCCGGGTACCAACCAAGAAGTAAATTGAAGTCGATTATTGTATTGTATGATCCCTGCGAGAAGGTTCCGTGAAGTACAATTAAAACCATAGAAGGTATTTATTGTCCATTTTATCTCTTTGTAACTTTTGTATGATAATGTCACCCTCCCCTGTTCTCTAAGAATGGAACCCCGTGTACTCATATTTGATTTGCTGATGATGTCATTGTATGCCTGTGTTTTGTCTTCACCATCATATTTTATTGAAGAATGAATGAAAATGAATTGCATTGTGATTTTTTTTATCTCGTAATTTAAGGGTTGAACGTCAAGTTGAAATTCCTGCAATGTAATCAAATACTGTCATTTTTACACAGTAAATTTTGACCAATCTTCTCCACAGTTAAATAAAAAATTTGTTACTGTAAATGGTTGATAGATAGGACTCTTTATGTTTTGTTATAAAAATTATGAAGATTTATTGAACTTCCAGTTTTGCATATTTTTTTATCAGTGTAGATTATGTTTGTGCAGGCAAGTGTATTACTGTACATAAGTAACAAAATGTGATTTAATGTACTTACTACTGTAATCAGTTTTATGAAATAAACATTTCAAAAACTAGAGTCTTTGCCTTGTCTGCATCAAATGTTGTGGAATGTGAGACAGGTACCATTTTTCTGATGATGATGATGATAAAAATAATAATAATAATAATTACTAATAATATCTATTATTATTACAACAATTAATACATTACAAATAAAATAATAATAATACAGTCATCCCTTGGTTAAAGCGCACTTGGTTATCGCGATTTTCGTTATCACGCCTCCATCAAAATCTGCACACCTACCGTTATAGCGCATTTTTCAGGCCGAGAATTTGGTTATCACGCGTTTGCCTCCAATGTGTAATGTTAATCTACATCTATTGAGGATAAAATCTTTCACCTTCAAATTGACAGTAACACATTTGCTGTAATCAGACATATCCAGTTGCCTCAACAATTGCAACCCCAGTTGCAATTGAGGTTGCAATTTCAAATTCTGTGGCATTACGACGAAATAACGAAGTCTCTGGTGCACTCTAAGATTGAGAGAGAACGGAAGACTCAGGCGTCCTGAAGCGAGAGAAAAGGACTCCTATGTTGGGGGACTCAAATAAAGAAAGACATAGCTACATGTTTTGTGGACTGCAGTATAGAGCATACCCTTTTCATCATATTGTAATAAACCTAGCCATGCCTATGTGTGTTTATGATATTTACCATAACATTATATATATATTTAGTGGGTCTAAATGGTCGTAAAATGGGAAACTTGGGGTTGCTCCTGTCGTGGGCCCTGCTTCTGTCGTGGACACTGCTCCTGACGTGGACCTAGACGTCCCAACCAGCGACCCTCTGCTTCTCCCACAGGTTTTGTGTCACTAGACGGAGTCGTCACCCATAGCGGCCCAGTCGTCCAAACCCCTGCCCATTATGTCTCACATGTGGGATACAACCCGGCCAATGACAAATCTCCTGCTGCGCCTGGAGGTGAGGGGGGGGTATTGTAGTGAATACTCTCCTCTACAACTGCAGACTGATCACTGGCCGTTCGCTTACAAGCTAATCAGCTTACAGCCAGCGACGTCGACAGACTAGGTGTCGGGTGCGAACGTAGGAGTACGATCGCCGACCTTGTCTTGACCTTCCATTTACCATCCAGGATCAGCGCACCAGCCGTCTCACGCATACTGCATGGTGATTGGCCCTACACAGTTCACACCTCGTGTCTCTGATCCTGGGCCGCCGTATTTAGTATAAATACGCATAGGCGTGGCTACGGAGATCATTCTACTCTACTCTCCTGAACCAGCAGCTACTAAACGGAGGTAGTACTGCCTTGGAAGGTATTGGAAGCATAATGTGTTGTCTAATGGTAGACCCTGCTGCCATATGGCATCATGAAAATTGTGACCAAGTCCCAGGTTGCCGATCTGACTTTCTGCTTCATTTACACACAATTGCAGGGTCTTAATTGTTTCTCTTGTTTGGACAACACAAAATAGATAATGTATCTCGTTTCTCACTCTTGATTTATTTTTTCGTTTTTATGTTTATTTTTGGTTATTATTAGTCAGTCAGTCATCTCTTGGTTATCACGCCTAATTATGACCCTGCCGAGTGCATGATAACGAAAAACGCGATAACCAAAGTACAGTACTGTACAGTACAGTAACAAGTTACTCTAGGACCCTGACCAACTTACTCCTACACCTAGGTATTGCTGCCCTGTTTGTGGGATACATACTTTATCTGTTAAGGTTTTCATAATGGATAATTGACACAAGCACTTGTTTCTACCGACCTTATTATTGGTTCATGTAAAATATTTTACCTTAATTGTATAAGAGAAAATAAATAATGTTATAAGACTTGATATAAGGAACTACTGCAAAACTCTGTTCATTTTCTATATAGTACAATCATTTTGATGCAAGTTTTTACTGTCCACAAAATATTACTGATCCATACAGTACTAACTGCTTGGATTTATCTTCTATTTTTATTGTTATTAACATTCTGATTATCGATGAAAAAGTAATTGAATAAATGTACAACAAAAACTGTACAAACTGTTTATACGGTAAAAGTATTTATGAACCCGCATACGGACTGTACTTACGCATGCAGTCAACTAAATCTAATTTTCATAGACTTCATCTCCGTACTGATTCTTTCTCACAGTGGTTCGTGGTGGTGGTCTGTACACTGGCTGTGGGGGCTGAGACTCTTCTATATGAGGTGGGCTACCTCCCTCTGGTAAAGGATCTGTTGTCACAAGAGAAAAATAACAATTAAATGACTACATTAAAGGAAATCAAATTGAAAATAAAAGGTCCCACATGAAGTATACGAGGCACTGGAGTTGGCAGATGATCTCAAGCTAGGCATCAACCCTAAATATTTGCTCAGGACTTTCATAAGTGTCACCAGAAGATTTCAAGTCTGGTAATGAAATACAGTATGTGTGAATCACTAAGGGTGTGAAGGAACGGTACCAAATACCTCTTTAAAATACTGTACAGATATTGTACATGAATTAAGTTTAATAATGTCCAGCTCCAACCTAAATCAAGAACACTTGGTTATATCCACCTACACTCCCTCCCTCCCTCCCTCCTTCCCACATTCATTCCTCCCTCCCTCCCACACTGCTCCTTCCCTCCCACACTGCTCCCTCCCTCCCCCTCCCTCCCTTCCCCCCCTGCTCCTTCCCTCCCCACACTGCTCCCTCCCTCCCCTGCTCCTTCCTCCCACTGCTCCTTCCCTCCCTGCTTCTTCCCTCTGCTCCTCCCTCCCCACCTGCTCCTCCCTCCCACAGTGCTCCTCCTCCCCACCTGCTCCCTCCCTCCCACTGCTCCCTCCCTCCCTGCTCCTTCCCTCCCCTGCTCCCTCCTTCCCCCTGCTCCTTCCCTCCCCTGCTCCTTCCTTCCCCCCCACTGCTCCTTCCTCCCTGCTCCCTCCCTCCCCAGTGCTCCCTCCCTCCCTGCTCCCTCCCTCCCCCTGCTCCCTTCCCTCCCCACACTTCCCTTCCCTCCCCTGTCCCTCCCTCCCCTCCCCTCCTCCACACTGCTCCTTCCCTCCTACCCTGCTCCTTCCCTCCCTGCTCCCTCCCTACTACCTGCTCCTTCCTACACTGTTTCCTTCCCTCCTACTGCTTCCCTCCTACACTGCTCCCTCCCTCCTACTCCCTCCCTCCCTCTCCCTCCCTTCCCTCCCCTACACTGCTCCCTCCTTCCCTCCTCTCCCTCCCTCTCCCTCCCTCCCCTGCTCCCTCCCTCCCCTGTTCCTCCTCCCCTGCTCCCTCCCTCCTGTTCCTTCCCTCCCTGCTCCCTCCTACACTCCTTCCTCCCTCCTACTGCTCCCTCCCTCCTCCCCCTCCCCTCCTACACTGCTCCCTCCCTCCTACACTGTTCCTTCCCTCCCTCCCTCCCTCCTACCTGTTCCTTCCTCCCCCTCCTCCCTCCTACCTGTTCCTCCCTCCCCTCTCCCTCCTCCTGCTCCCTCCCCCCTGCTCCTTCCCTCCCTCCCCTCTCCCTCCCCTCCCTGCTCCCTCCCTCCCCTGCTCCCTCCATCCCTACACTGTTCCCTCACTCCTACAATGTTCCTTCCCCTCCCTCCCTCACTGTTCCTACCTTCCCTCCTCCCTCTCCCTCCCTCCTACACTGCCTTCCCTCCACCTGCTCCCTCCCTCCCACCCTCCCTCCCCACTGCTCCTTCCCTCCCCTCCCCTGTTCCTTCCCTCCCCACACTGCTCCCTCCCTCCCTGCTCCCTCCCTCCCTCCCTGCTCCTTCCCTCCCCCTCCCTCCCTCCCTCCCCTGCTCCTCCCTCCCCTGCTCCCTCCCTCCCCTCCCTCCCTCCCTCCCCCCTTCTCCCTCCCTCCCACACTCATCCCTCCCTCCCACACTGCTCCTTCCCTCCCACACTGCTCCCTCCCTCCCACACTGCTCCCTCCCTCCAACACTGCTCCTTCCCTCCCACACCTGGGCCCGGGTGGGTTAATCCAGAAAAAAAGATGATGATAAATTAACCTGAGTTACCTTAAGCTAATGTTACATAACACAAAGATAACCTAACTTTAGCTGACCCAACCTAAGCTAATTTAACCTAGCCCAAGATAACTTAATACAACCCAACATAACTTAACCCAGCCCGAGATAACTTAAACCATCCCAAGCCAAACCAAACCTAACCATACATTTCACTGCTGTCTTCTTGTTCCTCTTCCTCCATTTTCATTATTCAATACTACTTGTTGTCTCATACCATCCATCAAAACCTGGCGAGTTGTTCTGTACACTCCTCCTCTTCCTCAGGAGCAGGTCATAAAGACTCACCTGTGGAAGGTCTACGATACTTTTCAGCCATTTTGTTGATGTATTCCTCACGGTTCTGGCGTCTAAGCTCCTGGTAACTTGTGTGCTGCTGAGGTAAGCTAGAAGAGGCCTCCGTGTAGGGGGTCAGTGCTGGAGAAAACAACGATAGTGTTATTTATATCATACAATAAGATGGTTGGAATTATGAGCACAAACACTCTCTCTTCATACAGTGTTCTCTTACAGATGTATCAGACTGTGGTGTTCCCTCTCTATAGTAAGTCCTCGTCATATCCTAATACTGTAGTTTATTGTTTAACTTCCTGTGCCCAAGTATCACCCCCCCCCACCAACAGATATATCACCAAAAACTTCTTAGATGTTTTCCACACACACGCACACAACTGCTTCCATCTACCTAATACCTGCCTTATCCCATCCTTATATTTTCTTCTCATTCATCCCTTCATTATCCTACTATCCAATTCTTATACATTTAATCACTTTATCTTCAGGGTGTTTTGTAAATATGCTTCATAATTCTGGTGGTGTATTCCTGAGACATACCGTACATAAAGATAAATGAATTCCTGGACTGCAGTTATTCAGACTCAAGGTGACTAATGGAGCAACAGAACTCATGGGTGTAGATGCTGCTGGCTTATGCCAATAGGCAATATATGGCAGTGTATTGTATGCCAATGGTGTTAACTTTTAAGATCAAGAAACTTTACATTTTCATCAGCAGAAAGAATGTTTTCATTTGTTATTTATTTATTTATTAAACCTTTAAAAAATATTTAAGAAAACTCTAAAATTATTCTATGCTCCTCTAAGAAATGAAACATTAAAGACATATTTAATTATACTACTTACTTTAAACATCACAGCCTCAAGCTAAAGAAGCCAGAAAATTTTCAGAGTTGAGAATTGTTGTACTGTACAGTAATACTGTAACCTGCCACATGTTGTTATATTGTGTTGTAGACTGTTGTACAGTAATAACCTGCCACATGTTGTTATATTGTGTTGTAGACTGTTATACAGTAATAACCTGCCAGAGACTGTTGATACAGGAAGAGTTCTTAGAGTTGTGTACTGTACAGTATTGTCATAATGACCTGAATTACTACAAATCGTTGCCTCATAAAGACCCACACCTGTAATGTTGGCTGTACACTGCACTCTCCTTTTAAAAATTTTTTTAGTTTGTTCATTAATACAGGTACTGTACTGTACTGTACTAAAGAAAAAAATACATAGCTTCGGGTTTTTCGTTTATAGTCAAATCGTGGGAATTTTTTTTTGTAAAGTAAACCAAATCTCCATAAATCAGAGAATGCCTGCACTGTACTGTAGTGTACTGCACAATGTTTCACATGTTTTTAATACCTGTACAGTGAACTGTACATTATATTATTTTAATACAGTACAGTAAGTCCTCGCTTAATGTCGTCCCGCTTAACGTTGTTTCGGTACTACGTCGCTGAACTTTAGAGACAAAAAATTTGTTTAATGTCCCAGTGATCCGATACTACGTCGTTTTGAGTCGTCGCGGACTACTTTCTACGCTGCATTACCCGCTCGTCTGGCCGCGCTACGCTCTCTCGGCTCGGCGCGCTGCCCTCACTCGCGGAACGTCACAGCATCCCAAAGCGACGCCAAGCCAATCTCTGTTACGACTTCACATCATTCGTGCGTGTTTTTGCTCTAAAACTGTACTCTAACCATTTGAAATGGCTTCCAAGTGTCCATAAGTGATACTGATGCTAGTGTAGTGAAGAGGCAACATATGACCATTACCTTTGCTACGAAAATGGATGTATTAACCCAATTTGAAAAAGGGGAACGTGCTGACAAGATTAAGATTAGTGCTGGAAGTGGTTCTTCTCTGAGTGCTGCTAAGATGACTCGTACTAGAAGCACTGTGATAGAGAAGGTGGAAAAGGAGCTGGCACTGTGGATGGAGGCCCAGAATCAACGCAATGCCCCTGTGAGCCTTATGGTTATCCAGCATAAGGCCAAAAATTTAAGGGTGTTTTACTTTTTCTACAGGCATCATATAAACAAATAAAGAAATATATAGATACAAATTATAACATTTAATGAGGCATCCCATTCATCAAATAAAATGATTGATTTTTTTTATATCACAAACTAACATTGAAATCTGTATTTGTAACAAACGAAAGAAAATAGATGATAAGATAATACAGAAATAATGACCCCCCTACCCCCACCCCCTGCCATACACTCAAATGGCCCAGCCCGGAAGTCTGTCACTTTGAGGTCCTAGATATGCCCCTGACTTTCCTTACTTTAAACTCTCTGTCCTTACATATATGATTACAGATTGCATCTCATCAAAAAACAAATACTGCAGGCCCATTTATCATTACTGTCATGTTGAGCATTACTCTACAGATACACAAAACTTTCATAAATAAAATACAGGTACAGTTTGTACTAAAATAACACAGTGAACACTAATAACCCAGTCTTACAGTCAGTAACTCCTCGCTCATAGTCGTGCAGACCCTCGTTGTGATCTCGCACATCTGGTCTGTGGTCATCAAAGATGGGGGTCTCCGTACCAGAACTTGTTTCACTGGATGGAAATGCTACAGAGAATCCTGGCTCCATGCCAAGCCTGGAAATAAATTATATGACTAATAATAAGAAATAAAGTGTAACTAGTAAAGTGGAATTGGCTTCTGTTGTATCAAAACTTTCATTCAGTAGGAAGTGGGTTCAACTGTGTATTCCCAGGCAATTATGTATTTCAACATGATCAGATTCTTTTATCCTTATAGAAAAGTACATTACTTAACCCTATGAGTCCTGAAAGGTTAGATCATCCTCCTCAAAGGGTTAAAAAATTGTTTTCAAAAGTTTGAACCACCATCCTCAAAAAGTTAAACCCTTGTCATCAAAGGGTTAAATCATCATCTTCAAAGGGAATTACAAAGTATGTCTGACTGAGAGCCAACCTGCCTTAGTTAATGAGGCACAGTACAATAATATTGAAAGAATTGGAAGAAAAAGATTGATAAAAAGTGTATCATTTACAAGTGGGTGATAAGAGGGAGTGAGGGGAAGACTGACAAAACAGGGGTACACAAGTTGCAGAGTTGTAAAGTAACTAAGTAAATTTGCTTGAGTAATGTATTCAAGTAACATTTTTGGTTATATATTTTTAAAAGTACTCAAAATTTTTGGTACTTTTACTTAAATATGATTTTCTAATATTTTTACTTTAATACAATTGAAAAAACAAAAATCGTTACCCGTTACATGGCCCAAACAATAGAATTTTAAATATCCAATCACAGGACACAGGACAAACTTGGAAACGCCCAATCACAAGTGCTTCTTCATGTCTGGATCAATCACATGCATTCTTCCATATCGTTTCAACTATGTACCAAAGCGACGAACACAGAGTTTAAGCAACCAAGCCACCCATTCCTTGTTCGGTGCTACGAAGGCAACACTCATCCACAAACTCTCAACTTTACTTGGCATGTCCAGGGGATAGAATGGAGCTACTGAGGTCTTTCCCAACATTATGTGACCTCCCTGAAGCTTAACACCCCACTACCTGCACCTGCTGCTTGTGAGCCTCTGTTTAGTCATGCTGGGCTTATATTTAAGCCTAAAAGATCCCATCAGAACAACCAGAATCAATTACAGTATTGATTAATCTCAATTGAAAGATTTGCAAATAAAAATGTGTAATGCTGCGTGTCTTGTATTTTCATCTTTAGTCAACTAGTTTTTCTTATAATTTACTGTGGATTTATTTTAATATATGGCCATATACTGTACTGTACAAAGAAAATCTCACTAATGATATAAACCTTAAGATATACTGTACTGTATTTCCAAAAACCTCCATTTTTTTGGAGGTGACTGTCCATGAACAAGTTTGACCTGACACACAGGAGGAATATGCAAAATATATCTTTCAGTTAACTTATGATTAATTGAAGTGCAAATAGACTACAGTACAAGAATAGTTAACACTCACGTTTCCTGAAACCCAAGTCGTCCCTTCCTCTTACGTAATGCTTCACCTACTGGACTGTTGGGCAGTTGCATTAACTTTTCTGCACATGCATTTTGATATGAGATTTTCCCCAAAAAATAGCCAACAAACGTTGCTCCCAACATCTTTGGGATGTAGCCAAACTTTTGACTCACTCTCACAATTCCTGCATCATGAAAAGAAAACTGACATTAAAGAATTTTTGCCAATACTGTACATTATCTATAAATAAAAAACTGTACTGCACTTCACTTAGAGTAAGGTAAACTATGCAAAATTATCTCAAAACAAGTTATATATATATATATATATATATATATATATATATATATATATATATATATATATATATATATATATATATATATATATATATATATATATATATATATATATATATATATATATATTACTGTATTACTTCTTTTCATCCGTAAATACTATAAAGATGAGTAATATATGTTATTACAAAATATTGAGAATCACTTCACAACCAGGCAAACAAACCCTTCTAAGATGACAAGAGTCATAGTTTCATTCTGAAATCTGTTGTACCCAGCTGTCCGAGAACTTTTGGTGGCAAGTGTACAGTATACACCCTGTATAACATAAATTATGTGTGGGGAGGTTACGCACCTTGCCTCATGGCCACAAACGCTGTTGTTGAAAGAGCTGCAGCAATGGGAAGACTGCGGAAGTAAAATGATTCTCTGTTGCATTCTCGGAGGACTCTCAGCTCATCCTGGTTGAACACCGGCTTCTGTTATACACACCAAAAATGTGCACTTCAGTATACATTTGAGGAAAAAGATTTACTGTACCTTATTTATAAATTGTAATGGATTATAAAATGAACAATTGAACAATGAAACATTTAAAGATGGGAACCTTAAAACCCCTTATAAAAAGAAAAAGCTTAATGAATCAAAATAGTTTCCTTAAGTCTCTCACACCTCAGCCTAATCTGACCTGGTCTTACTTAAGTTGCACAAAGTGCCATGACCGGCTACGTTCTTGCTAAAGTTATTTTACCGTGAGTGCGCTCTGATTGGCTAATCGTCCATTACCGGCATACAACGCAAGAACTATATTTGACCATGACTTTGGTGGCATTTGGCATTTATTTTGCTGTAAGTCAATCATTGTGTAGCCGTGGAATACACTGACGGCATTTCATGCGCCTTTTGCTGCCGGTCGATTGTCCTAGTTTTTTTTTTTCAAGTGGAAGACATAACATGGTTCCTACCCTAACCTAATGCCATTTTTCAATCTACATTATGGTCACATATCGTCTTTACATTGTTCACCGGAAATGGACAATTAGCCAATCAGAGCACACTCGTGGTAAAGTAGCATTAGTAAGAACTTTGCCAGTTATGGCCAAATATCCACTGTGTAAACTATTTTCAAGCCTAGATAATTGTGAATAGATAATGCATCCGCTCAAGCCCTGAGCTCTACCTAAGTAAGTAATATGATAATAGTGGTTCAAAGACAAGATGACTACAGCCAAGATCGTTAACATTCTATCTCCTCCCATCTAAGAGAAATATAAGGCAGTATATATTTTGCCGTGACCAGCTTAGTTCTTACTAACGCTATTTTATCGTGAGTGTGCTCTGATTGCCTAATAGTCCATTTCCAGCAAAAAACATGAGAACTATATTTGACCATGACTGGCAGAATATGGCATTTATTTCGGTGTCTGTCGATCGTTGTGTAGCTATAAACATACCTAACCATATTTCTGTTGTTCATGGAAACTACTAACAAAAATTTAGATCACAATTCGTTTCAGGTCGAACATGAAATTTCCTTTGGTAATTATTCGTTTTATCACACCCTCAAATTTTTTCACAAGTTGTTTGATTTCTTATGTATTTTAATGTGTTTTGTTCAGATCTGACCTTCGTTTCCATGGGAAATGCGTCGATTTTGAAAAAAAGATGTATGTCATCCTTGATAAAAAATGGCTATTTTCCATAAAAAACGAGAATGAAATCTGAACAAAGTACATCAGAAACCAAACATCTAGACCCCTAACTTTCACGAAATTAACCAACCTTAACCTAACCCCTGCAGAGGCCCTAACCCTGCCTCACAGCTCCAGACAGTTCACGGTGGGACAAAAAATGGCGGGTGGAGATTTATTGATCTAATTTATTAGGCATTCCTCACTTGTGCGATTTTTCTGAAATAAACACGCTTCCAAGAGGCTTCAATATATGATAGAAGTTGCCTTAAAGTAAGTGCTTCTATGCGATTTCAAGATGTGCTAAACCGAATAATAACCATTAATTTTTCCACAGATGTTTTTATCATTACAAAAGAGCCGACATTTATGAGAACCTAATAAAACCTGACCTAACCAACCAAAGAAACCTACCTACCATTACGTAATTTTCTAGCCGGGGGGCGAACCCGTTTTATTAAACAGAAAGTACTTAGCCAATTAGAGTGTACTCACGGTAAATAGCGTGAGTAGGAACTTAGCCGGTAACGGAAAAATATCCACTACGGAAAAATAATAATCATTGTGGTTGATAGCTTTACTGGGTCGAGAATTGTGGCTATTTGGCTATACCTACAGCTTAATTGTCGATTAATTTACTTACAAACTGATCTGGTGATGGCTGTGAGTAGCCTTGCTGTGGTAATGGCTGAGACATGACACTATCACCCTAAAAAATTGGTTGCTAAATTGTGTCACTAAAATCTTGCAGGAGATTGTTGTTGTGGCCTGGCAGTCGACCCTGTTAACCGGTGTTCGATTCTTATCGTTAAGGTGTGAACTGAAACACACAAATATCTATAATATAACTTTTAATTATTCTTATCATTAAACTAACTATGTTATTAAATATTATATCCACTTTCATCCTCTTTCTGAATGTCAGATTTGCATATTTTACTCTATTATTCAACAAGATCGTAATCAATGGCAGGTCTGTTGTCGCCGGTGTTGAAATACTTCCAAAACTTAATTGTTTTCTTTCTTCACCAGGTTCACTTCATAAGCACTCTACCAAATCCCTAAAACCAGTACACAATGCATGGCACAGTATAACAATGTGTCTATGATGAAGTCTCAAACAAAATCGATACCTTTAATCATGAAATTAATGTAAACTTGGATACTGATAATCAATATCAGTATCTCAGTTTACTTTATTGTAATTTAACAGTAACAATTATAATATTGTTACTGATAGGTTACAATAGAGCAACATAGACTTTTTGGAATGTTCATCAACACTCAAGATATTTATATTCCAACAAATGACTTAAACAAAATAGCTTTAATGAAATATTTTTAGATATATGTCTTCGGACGTCACAAGATACCACACACAAAAATAAACTATTGCGTGCATAAGATATAGCAACTCAAATAATCCTTTATTCTTATAAAATCCTAAATTACAGTTTCGTTTCAACACAAACATTCAGTGATGTTGCCTCTGTGAGACGTGGTCGTTCCGTAGTTGTAACAAATAATCATTCCCAGAAAAAAATATGAAGTTATACACGTATACAGTACATGTAGTACAGTATACCGAATCATGAATATACTGTATATTGGAAGGGCCAAGAGGTAGAAGCTGTTGCCATCTACATCATCATTGGCAGTGTCATTAGAGGCAATGACAGTGTTAATTTATCTTGTCATGTCACTGCTCGTTTGGTGTACCCCCGCTCGATGTTAAAAGATTGAGTAGAAAGTCATCGTACGGCTCTATTTGATGACCCTCTAGGCCAAGGGGACCATGCGGGCCAAGGAGGCCATCTGGGCCAAGATGATAATTTAGACCAAGATGACCTGGAATAATGTTACCCTCTGGGCCAAGATCACCTGGGGGAATGTGACCCTCTGGGTCATAGTATCCTCCTAGTCCAAGATTACCGTCTGGCCCAAGATGACCTTGGTCAAGAAAATCTTCTGGGTCAAGGCCATCTAAGCCGAGGTCATGATCTGGGCCAAGATTAGGGGTGACGGAATAGTTTGGCAAAGGACAGGAGAATTTAAGGCATAAGTTATGCAAGATAGCACAAGCCACCAGCACTGGCAGGCTGGAGGGATCTAGTGGCTCCATCCCCTTTTTCAGGCAGGGAAACCTCGTCTTCAGTGAATGGGTCGTTTTTTCCGCGCTCCTGATCATTATTTGCTTGAGTGCGTGGTTATAAAAATACTCTTCCACCGTTTCGGTGGGGACAGCTGGTGTGAGAAGGTACGGCTTAGAAGGAAAGTTCTCTAGAACTACTATCATACCTTCTACTTCGTCCTCTTCCAGGGAATGACGCAGCATACTCTCGTTAAACATTGGCCAGCTTGATCCTCGCTCCTGAGCTATGATATAAATTATCTGTTGCTGTGGACCACAAACAACCACCATTCCGAGATAGCTGTGGCCGCGGGTGATGTACGACCATCCTACTTCCACCCCGGAGATTGTGCACAATGGGACAGCAAAACCGTCGAGACAGGCCAACACCCCAGGTATCAGTGATATCTTGTAAAACTCTTCCCGGAACAAGGTCTGCTCCTCATCACCAGGAAAGACCAGGTACTGCTGCCCTAGACAAATCTTTATAACCTGTGCCACTTTATACACGATGCCTATCGCCGCCCACCTGGAGGTTCCGAGGAGACGTGCTGACGAAGATAACTGACCAGTAGCTAAGAAGGCAAGGGTGGCCAATACTTGTAGCTCCACGGGTATATCTGTTCAGATGAAATATTGCATAACTACTGTATTATCCATTCCACCTTCAGTAACCAGCTGCTACACACACACACACACACACACACACACACACATATATATATATATATATATATATATATATATATATATATATATATATATATATATATATATATATATATATATATAGAGAGAGAGAGAGAGAGAGAGAGAGAGAGAGATATTGCTATAACATCAAACACAATTAAATGTAGTTATCTAAAAACACCGGTTATCTTACCTAACATATACAACATAATAATCTTACAAAAACACAATTTATCTTACATACGTGGTTATCTCATAAATACATCAGTATCTTACAAAACATACAACATGGTAATCTTACAAAAACACATCAATTATTTTACATAATATACGACATGGCGGCTATTTTAGAAAAACACCCAACACACCATCATCCAGCTCGCGATGGTCTAGTGTTGCAAGCAATTTACACACTAGTGATTTTGAGAGTCTAAACACGTTCAAGAACTCCATCTCGGTGAGGCGCGTGAACGGGTCTTGGTGCTGGTGGTGGGGACAGCCGAGATGGATGCTCTCCATTCCTGATATGCGGTGCTTACTGCAGTACGTATCGCTTCTGTTGGGCGGTAAGGAATTTTGAATGAATTACAAATATAACTTTCTACAAGTACAGTGGTTGTATACCTGCACGGTCTATATAATTATCTCCACTATACATGTGTTGAATGCATACGTGTTGAATGTCTACCCGCATTGTTTATATAACATGATGAATCAACTGTAAACTTCTATAACTATTTTACTGCACATCTATCTATCTAACCACCCATGTCTGTAAAATTAAGGAACTATAAGGGAATCAATTACATTCTATACAAGCTTCTCTTACATTTTCTGAGAAACTTTATCAGGTTACTGTGTTCTTAACATCGAGATATTCCATCTATCAAACGGGAGGCTAACATTAAGTTGTATAAATCTATATAATACAACCTAATGCAGTTACCACAACCTAACACAATGAAGACATTAAATGCGTCTTCACCTTAGCCTGTGTATAAAGAACATGTTACTGACCTATATTAAAGAAACTCACCCATTTTTAATGAATAGATTAATTAAATAACGACTTACCGGATAACGTTTATTTTAAACCAGCCTTGCGCGAACTTATTATTTCCTCTTGATCACAAAGTTTCCTAAACAAATTGGAAAAAAAATAGATTTTGTCTGATTGTGTACACTTAAATTAGGAAGAATTCTTTTTTTATTATTAGTATTATGTAAATCTTAGGTTACATATAATTCTTGCTATCCAATAATATTAGTGAAAATTGAAGTGGAGCAGTGATGCCAGATCTACAGATAAATCTGAAATCTACTGTACATATTTTTTTACATAAAAATTTTCAGATTTGTTCCCCAAAATAGGCCAAATCTACAGATTTTTATCCAAAGGACTTTTACTTTTCTAAACTATCCCCAATATTACCATTTAGTTTTGTTCACGCTCTCAAAACAACCGAGGGAAAGTTATGTTAATAAGAAAGGCTATGAGGTACCGGTATGGCCAGCATAAGGACAGAACCAGACAATGTGATATAGTCGTGGCCAGAATTAGGCTAGGATACAGACACATCTGGCAAGTTAAAGCGTTTTTTGTATGGCGTTTTAAGATGCACGGAATAACTAACGCGTTAGCTTTCCCGGACTGTCATTAAAAAATACGACATTTGTACCGTGTCTTGGAAATAACTGTTTTACAACACAGTCTTCAGAAAACAATACAATTAGAACTGTTATTTGGACGCAATACAGAAAGAATTAGTGAAGAAAATATATAGAAAAATATGGAAAGAAAGACAAAAAGAAAAAAGTCAATCAGTTAACAATAACCATGGCGGCTTGATCCATTTTTTATACAGGAAAGGTGGTGCTCCACTTTGTACTGAAAGCACAGTATGTTCTTGTCTCGAGGCTACATTGTGTTGTTACAGGTGTTCGCATATACTGTAATATGCACTTACAGAACTGTAGTAAACTTTTCACCCTAATTTAAATTATCTTATGATTAATGATATTAAAGGTTGAATCATATTTGAGTAATTATCAATATTGTTACACTAAAGTCACCAACGGCTAATGAAATCGGACAACGCCCACTTAAATATGGGTGGAGCCAAAACTGGTTTCAACTAGGCGCATCCTTTTCAAAATTTTCACGCCAAATGCTTTGTTTTAGGTCCTATCCAATATACTACCGTATATAGAACCACTTTTATTATTATATCACAGTTTTTTATTGCCTTACATGCCCCCAACTCTTCAATATTAATAATAAATTTCTGCATAAGCAACCATGATCCGCGAATTTTCAGTGAGAGAAATCGCTGTTTGGTTGTTAACTATTTGGGCAGCTTGGGACCGCACAAGGCTAACGCCTGATCGAGGTGTTAGCTTTTCCCTCTGAATGTGTCATGCGCACAAGTCAAAAGCAGCATCTGCGCATACAGAATAGCTAATCCGTACATCGAAAACGCCTTACAATAAACTCCTTTGGTGACGCTGTACCCATACCGGAACACTCGGCATGTAAAGTTTGTGATAAAACTTTAAAGCATACACTTGAACACTATATTATTGAATGTGACACTGTCAAAGACTTTTGGCCACTTGGCTTATTGTATCATGAACTATGTAATTATTACATTGAATCAGGAGTGCTTGAAGACATTCTTGCTGTTTATCCAAAATTTGCTAGTCCACACTGATTAGTCCTCAAATAGAATGTGACTTCTACTGTATATGAACCTCTGTTCTGCATGGCAGTGGGAAGTGATACCACCCTCAGTGTCAAGACCTGACTGAATTACTCAGAATAGGCAAATTGTACTCCAAGCTTCACCAATAAATGTGTTAACCATTAAAGATGCAGGAGAGTGCCCGCATAGTTGCCAACTGAAAATTTCATGTGGCGCTAGATTCACTCCCAAAATGAGCTAAAGTTATAAAAGCTAATAAAAAGTGCTAGGAATTAGTTATGGTAAATTATACAAATTTTACTGGTACAAATTATTTGATATTACTCACCATTATTCCAAATCTGTTAATTCCCAATCTGCCCTACACGGTGCTTCACGCCCTGCCCTACACGGTGCTCCACGTTTTGTCTTACACGGTACTTCACGCCCTGCCCTACACGGTGCTCCACGTTTTGCCTTACACGGTGCTCTACACTGTGCCATACACTGCCCGTGTCCCACACGGTGCTCCATCAGTGTCCCACACTGTGCTTCATGAGTGTCCCACAAGGTGCTTCATCAGTGTCCCACACTGTGCTTCATCAGTGTCCCACAAAGTGCTTCATCAGTGTTCCACACGGTGCTCCATCAGTGTCCCACACTGTGCTTCAGTGTCCCACACTGTGCTCCATCAGTGTCCCACAAGGTGCTTCATCAGTGTTCCACACGGTGCTCCATCAGTGTTCCACACGGTGTTCCATCAGTGTCCCACAAGGTGCTTCATCAGTGTTCCATACGGTGCTCCATCAGTGTTCCACACGGTGTTCCATCAGTGTCCCACAAGGTGCTCCATCAGTGTCCCACAAGGTGCTTCATCAGTGTTCCATACAGTGCTCCATCAGTGTCCCACAAGGTGCTTCATCAGTGTTCCACAAGGTGCTTCATCAGTGTTCCACACGGTGTTCCATCAGTGTCCCACTTTCCATTTTTATACTTGCCTTCCTTACTTGTTCACACTGAATTCCTACGCAGATGCGAATGTACACTTCAACCTAGAAGTGAACGTACAGTACGCAATATACAGATTCTGTTTCAGGTTGCCCCTGGTTCAGCCACGCCCCCCACCATCTATCCAAGTGAACGGGACCTCCCTCTCCAATGTTAACGGTTTCCACCACCGTGGACATGAAGCTGTAGGGAGATGAAATTATCTGCATGAATATATATATCGATCAGTGGTCCTCCCCCCAACTGCTGTATGGCAGCGAGACATGAGGCACCTCAGGGCACTTGAAAACTTTCACCAATGTAGACTACATTCCATCCTCCGAGTTTGCTGGGAAGACAAGAGAACAAATGCCAGTATTCTCACTGACACCAACTGTAGGAGCATCGAGGCTACCATTATCCATGAACAACTACGTTGGATTGGCCATGTTACCTGCATGGATGACAGACTGCCAATGCAGCTACTTTACGGTCATCTAAACTTAAAGAAAAGTAAATGTAATGCCAATGGGTAAAGGTATAAGGATAGTCTTTAGACAAACCTGAAAAAAAGTTCAAAATCATCTCATTCATCTCTGAGACCATCATTCCACGCCGTAACGTTTGGAGGAACACCAAACGAGGTGTAAATACTTCAAGTTGGCTTGACTACATACTGAGGAAGAAAAGCTCCAAACATAGGTTGGATGAATATATGAGCGATAGGGGTTGGGTGTAAATTGGACTACCCAGTATGGGCCAATAGGCCCGCTGCAGTTTCCTCCTTGTGTTCTCATGTTATGTAAATGTCAGTGCGGGAAATTTGTATCATAAAAAAGGGGAAATATCTACTTTCCGGGAAAGTTGGTTATCTACTTTCCCGAAAAGTAGATAGATTTTCTACTTTTCGGGAAAGTAGATTATCGACTTTTCGGGGAAGTAGATTTTCGAATTTGGGGGGAAATATTACCTAATTTTACGAAGTAGATTATCATAGAAAACGGGAAATTTGTATCACAAAAAACTGAACATTCACTTCCGGGAAAGTTGTTTCCCGGAAAGTAGATAGATTTTCTACTTTTCGGGAAAGTAGATTATCGATTTTTCGGGGAAGTAGATTTTCGAATTTTGGGGCAAATATTACCTAATTTTGCGAATTAGATTATCAGAGAAAACGGGAAATTTGTATCATAAAAAATGGGAAATATCTACTTTCCGGGAAAGTTGGTTATCTACTTTCCCGGAAAGTAGATAGATTTTCTACTTTTCTGGAAAGTAGATTATCGACTTTCGGGGAAGTAGATTTTCGAATTTTGGGGGAAATATTACCTAATTTTGCGAAGTAGATTATCATAGAAAACGGGAAATTTGTAACATAAAAAATGGGAAATATCTACTTTCCGGGAAAGTTGGTTATCTACTTTCCCAAAAAGTAGATAGATTTTCTACTTTTCGGGAAAGTAGATTATCGACTATTCGGGGAAGTAGATTTTCGAATTTTGGGGGAAATATTACCTAATTTTGCGAAGTAGATTATCATAGAAAACGGGAAATTTGTATCAAAAAACGGGAAATATCTACTTTCCGGGAAAGTTGGTTATCTACTTTCCCGAAAAGTAGATAGATTTTCTACTTTTCGGGAAAGTAGATTATCGACTTTTCGGGGAAGTAGATTTTCGAATTTTGGGGGAAATATTACCTAATTTTGCGAAGTAGATTATCATAGAAAACGGGAAATTTGTATCATAAAAAATGGGAAATATCTACTTTCCGGGAAAGTTGGTTATCTACCTTCCCGAAAAGTAGATAGATTTTCTACTTTTCGGGAAAGTAGATTATCGACTTTTCGGGGAAGCAGATTTTCGAATTTGGGGGGAAAAATTACCTAATTTTGTAAAGTAGATTATCATAGAAAACGGGAAATTTGTATCATAAAAAATGGGAAATATCTACTTTCCGGGAAAGTTGGTTATCTACTTTTCCGAAAAGTAGATAGATTTTCTAATTTTCGGGAAAGTAGATTATCCACTTTTCGGGGAAGTAGATTTTCGAATTTTGGGGGAAATATTACGTAATTTTGCGAAGTAGATTATCATAGAAAACGGGAAATTTGTATCATAAAAACTGGGAAATATCTACTTTCCGGGAAAGTTGGTTATCTACTTTCCCGAGAAGTAGATAGATTTTCTACTTTTCGGGAAAGTAGATTATCGACTTTTCGGGGAAGTAGATTTTCGAATTTTGGGGGAAATATTACGTAATTTTGTGAAGTAGATTATCATAGAAAACGGGAAATTTGTATCATAAAAACTGGGAAATATCTACTTTCCGGGAAAGTTGGTTATCTACTTTCCGGAAAAGTAGATAGATTTTCTACTTTTCGGGAAAGTAGATTATCGACTTTTCGGGGAAGCAGATTTTCGAATTTGGGGGGAAATATTACCTAATTTTGCGAAGTAGATTATCATAGAAAACGGGAAATTTGTATCATAAAAAATGGGAAATATCTACTTTCCGGGAAAGTTGGTTATCTACTTTCCCAAAAAGTAGATAGATTTTCTAAAAGTAGATTATCGACTTTTCGGAGAAGTAGATTTTCGAATTTGGGGGGAAATATTACCTAATTTTGCGAAGTAGATTATCATAGAAAACGGGAAATTTGTATCATAAAAAATGGGAAATATCTACTTTCCGGGAAAGTTGGTTATCTACTTTCACGAAAAGTAGATAGATTTTCTACTTTTCGGGAAAGTAGATTATCGACTTTTCGGGGAAGTAGATTTTCGAATTTTGGGGGAAATATCACCTAATTTTGCGAAGTAGATTATCACAGAAAAACGGAAAATTTGTATCATAAAAATGGGGAAAATATCTACTCTTCCGAAAGTTGTTGAGTCTACTTTCCCGAAAAAGTGAATAATTACCTACTTTTAGGAAAGTGATATATTATGAGCTTTTTTTGGGAAGTAGATTTTTCCAATTTTAAATATTTTCAATTTTACGAAGTAGATTATCATGAAAACGGGAAATTTGTATCTGCCAAAATGGGAAATATCTACTTTCCGGGAAAGTTGGTTATCTACTTTCGAAAAGTAGATAGATTTTCTACTTTTTCGGGAAAGTAGTTATCGACTTTTCGGGGAAGTAGATTTTCAGATTTTGGGGAAAATATTACCTAAATTTTGCGTCGTTATCCTTAGAAAACGGGAAATTTGTATCATAAAAAAATGGAAATATCTACTTTCGGGAAGGTTGGTTATCTACTTTTCCCGAAAAGTAGTGTTACTACTTTTCGGGAAAGTAGATTATAAACTTTTTCGAGGAAGTAGATTTTTCGGGCTTTGCGGGAAATATTACCTAATTTTGCGAAGTAGATTATCATAGAAACGGGAAGTGGTGTCATAAGAAAAATGGGAAATATCTACTTTTAGGAAAGTTGGTTATCACTGCATAGGCCCACCTACTACTTTAGGAAAACTAGTTATCGACTTTTCGGGGAAATGGGTTTGCTTTAGTTTTTGGAATGTTTTAAGTTTTTGGGGTAGTTTATGTGGAGACTTGGAGTTTTGTTGTCTCATGAGAGGCTTTTGGAATGTGCTGGCACTGTAGGAGGTTTGGGACATCTTTACTTTCACGAGAAAGTAGACAGATTACCTACTTTTCGGGAAGGCGATTATCGACTTTTCGGGGAAGTAAGATTTTCGAATTTGGGGGAAATATTTCTAATTTTGCCAAGTAGATTATCATAGAAACGGGAAATTTGTATCTCATAAAAATGGGAAATATCTACTTTCAGGAAAGTTGGTTATCTACTTTTCCCGAAAACTAGATAGACCCTCTACTTTTCAGGAAAATGGTTGTCTGACTTTAGGAATTTAGTTTTTACTTACGGTTTTGAATGACGCCTTGTTTGCGAGGTGGTTATTAAGCAGAGGCGGAATTAAACAAAATGGGTAATGGCACTTAGGAAGGACATCTTTGAGAGAGTGAATGTAGCGTTCCTCTTTCAGTGGGTATGGGCTTGCCGCAGGAGGTGGTTTTAAATTTTGGGGAAATATTACGCGCAGTTTTTGCGAAGTGAATTATCATAGAAACAGGAAATTTGTATCATAAAAAACGAAATATCTGCTTTTCCGGGAAAGTTGGTTATCTACTTTCGAAAAGTTGATAGATTTTTCTACTTTTCGGGAAAAGTAGATTATGGCACTTTCGAGTAGATTTTCGAATTTTGGAAATATTACCTAATTTTACGAAGTAGATTATCGCAGCAGGAAATTTGTATCATAAAACGGGAAATATCTACTTTCCGGGAAAAGTTGGTTATCTACTTTCCCGAAAGAAGTAGACAGATTTTCTACTTTTCGGGAAAGTAGACCTGTAAACTTTCGGGGAAGTAGATTTTCGAGCACAGGGAAATATTGCCTAATTTTGCCAAGTAGATTATCGAAACGGGAAATTTGTATCATAAAAATGGGAAATATCTACTTTCCGGGAAAGTTGGTTATCTACTTTCCCGGAAAATAGATAGATTCTCTACTTCGGGAAAGTAGATTATCATTTCGGGGAAGTAGATTTTCAGGCAGGGGAAATATTACCTAATTTGCCAAGTGGGTGTGGCGGGTTTTGTGGCAGGGTGGGAAATATCTACTTTCCGGGAAAGTTGGTTAAATGCGGCATACGTGGTAAATTTTAACAACAGGTGGTTAATGGAGAAGCTTTTTCAGGAGGCCGTTTTTAATTTTGGAAATATTACCTAATTTGCGTGATTTATCAGAAAACGGGAAATTTATCGCCGCTTTGGGTAATGTATCCGGGGAAAGTTGGTTTATCTACTTTCCCGAAAATGGGCTAGATTTTCTACTTTTCGGGAAAGTAGTTATCGACTTTTCGGGGAAATAGATTTTCGAGCCACAGGGAAATATTACCTAATTTTGCCAAGGTGGTTGTCATGGGGGCGGGAGTTTTGTGCATTAAGGCGCGGGAGTAATGCGAAACTGGAGGTTTGGTTTGTCTATACTTTCCCGAAAAGTAGA